TAAGAGGTTCCATCGTTAAATGAAGAATAAATGAGCTAGAAACTTCTAAACAAGATCACAAGAAGGGCCTTATTAACTAAGTACCTATAACACGTTCAAATGACAACCCTCAACTTTATCCTTTTAAAAGTTTGTATTAAAAAAAAAAGTTAAAAGAATTTTAAAATTCCTTATGTTCATCGGAACATTACTAAGATATCTTTATAGGATTGACAAGTAGACGCTTCTTTTAGAGATGAAACAAGTGTCGCAAAACGTGCGTGGACTGATTGGTGGTCAGAGATTGATGGCTAATATGGAAGGTTGTAGAACTTCTGCTAATAACAATTAAAGGCAATCTTCAAGTGTTGCCAGAAGCACGCATACAATATTATGACATAAATGCATTTTTTTAATGGAACACACTTCGTGTTAAAAGTGTAGGATGTATTAAATAGCTTCTATTGTGGAAGAGTAAATTTTTCTAATAATAACACTATTCGTTTTAAATGCATACCGTTCTTTTTGTATTTGGGGTCAGATCACTATCTCTCGTACTTGACCCGATGGGATCTTTTGTGCTTCCTACTGGCTTTACCGATTTGTAGATCTTAATCTATAGGCGTATTGTGTCATGAAATAAATGTATGAGTATAATTTATTTACATCATACAATATAGAAAATAAGCAAGACATTAAATGTAACGATACAGTCGTATAAGTACAGTAAGGCGGTCTTATTGCTGAGAACAATTTTTTCAAGACAACCTCCAAACCATTACCCTATGGACTAATTGTTGTACAAGTAGGTATGATTTTTTTATGCAACTTAGAATGACTAATAAGCTGACAACCCACCTGATGGAAAGTGGTAACCGTCGCCTATAGACATGAGCAGTACCATGGACATAACAGAGTACACTGTTTCGCCCATGATACCCCCATGCGTTGCCATTCTCGGTGTGCCAGACTCGGGTGTTATTCCTCCGCACCCTGTAAATTCACTGCCATATCCCACCCTTCAAAAATAAACAAAGCCACGCAAACAACAGCTTCACTGTAGAAACACGAATGGGACAGAGTTGCCCAAGCAAACGACTTTTGTACGAAGTCTCCCTCTGCTAAAAATTTTATAATAAAAAAGTAAAATATTGGGAGTATAATTAGAAGTACTTATTATCAAATGTAAAATATAAAATTGCAATTTGAAATAGCTAATTTTCTAAAATATAACAGCCCCATCGTGGTTAATTCTTGTGGAATTCGTCACGATGGGCCAACAGCCTTACTTTCATCCACATTTATCATTCTTCACCGGTGACCCGTCAGCGTATACCGATAGCGCAGGCGGAGCTACCATCCTATTTAGTAGCGTAACAATGAGGTAACAGAATGGGCAAAATGCACGGGCTCTAAAGGCCAAGGGGCGCCCGGGTTGAGAAGGCGTAAACGCAAAAAAATCTAATTGTTTAATAAATTACATGTGGTCCAAGAGCTGGTAGCTACTTTGAACAAAAGATAAATTTGGCACTTCAAAAAGATAATGCTGCCAGTATCTTGGCAGCGTACCCTCGATGTGGTGCGTTGGGAGACATTATAATTAGTTGTTAGTGTTATTATTTTAAAAAATAATTGTGTTTAATAAGTATATAATAAAAAATTGTTGTGAACAGCGTTAATTAAAAAAAGTTAGTAAAAAAAATTATTTAATCAATTTGAGAATTATTAAATCAAATAAAAAAAAATTATATTAAAATTTAGCACGCCGATAGGTATTTTGAAGAACAGGGTAAGTCAAGTTTTTTAATAATGAAAGAACGAAACTTGTCTTTATAGATTTCTTTGAACGAATTCTGAGAATAGAGTTGAAATATTTACGAATTCTTTGTCAATTTTCTCTAAATAATATTATGAAAAGGAAAAATTGGATATTTTATTTGTTATGGATAATATCTAAAACCACTCAATCGATTTTGAAAATCTTTTCACCTATAGAAAGCTACCTTATCAGAATAATATGGACTATGTATTATTTTCAAAAATTCTACCTGTCCATTCGAAGCCAAGAGCGATCGCTAGTTTTCTATATTTCACGACTTAGATTGTCATGTAAATAGATAAAGTATGTATGTATTATATTTAGGTTATATATTATAGATAGTGTCTCCATAAAAATGCTTCGAAAAAATCGAGTCAACTTTTTCATACAAATTTGCGTGATAAATAGTTATAAGTGATTCCTTTATAACTTCCATATTTATTTTGTCTTATAAATTGTTTATTAAATAACTTTTTAATATAATAGATAACGTCCATTTACATTGTGTGCGTAAAGTATATAGAATATTCCAAAATGGCATGAATTTAAACACTAAAAAGTGTTTTAAAAAACGATTGATTCAGGTAATTTGACAATTAACTGACAAAAAGTTGACCTGTTTTTGAGGCTAGAAGCTCTATCTGTATAATCTATTATACTTATTAAGTCTTCGTATCTAAATAATTAAATTAATTAGTAGAAAAACGCAGAGATTTTATTGACAGGCGTTTAACTTTCGTGTTCCCTCTAGAATACCTCGGAAACAGATAACTATTCCTCTTAATCTATGCTCGCAGCTCGTTTTCATTTCCAGCCAGTAAGTATGATTTCTACATATTCAGATCCTGTTATTGTTAATGATTTATTAAATATTATAATAGTGCATGTGGTGTTCGCGTATAAAAGATTTTTACATTGCCAGCTATTATTTAACACAAATATTAATGTATTAGTAAAGTACTAAGTACCACTCGATTGTAGTAGTCGACTTTTTGCGATTTTATTTTCGAACTAACTTCTAAACAGACAAACAATTTCAAACCCGTTTTATGCCCTTAGGATTGAATTTTCAAAACTCCATTCACTACTTCTACTACTTCATTTCAAAATTGTTCACCTGTTTTAGCTGTACCTTTATATATAATACAATTAGTCAGTCACTCAGAATCCTCTTTTTCTATACAAATATATATATATTTCTTTATTTATATATATATTTGCAAGTAGCTGTCACTCTTGACAACCATATTGGTGACATTTTAAGAAGAACGCTGCTGTCCATCCCTCTACCATTTAATACCCTTAGTCACCTCTCGATACCCACTGTAAAAGATGTGGCCTATTCTATGCCCGGACCACAAACCAATATATTATACATACTCGTATGTAGATTATTTCAGTTAAAATTTTAAAGTTTACAGCTACCAAATCTACTTAACAGTTTCCATCGTGCCCGCCTATTTCGAGTTAAAAGCTTCCGATTTCACGTGGCCGAGTTTGATATGCCCGGAAATCGATGAGTTCTGAATCGAAACGCCGCTAATGGAAATGAACCAATTATAAGCGTCTCTGATCTAATCGATAACAGACATCATCATTCATCAATTCAGCCATTATCCGTCCACTGCTGGACGCCTCCCCCATAGACTGCCAAAAAGAACAGTCCTGAGCCGCCTGCATCCACTGACTCCCTACAATGTATTTCAGATCATTACTCCATCTAGTGGAGGGTCGTCCTGCACTGCGTTTACCCGAACGCGATCGCCACTCAAGAACCTTTCTTGCCCTCACGGATCAAAGATAACAGACATAGGTGTGATAAATTTCGAGGCAATGCATAGGAGGTATCATGGGCGAAACAATAAACTCTGTTATGTCCATGGTACGGCTCATATCTATAAGCGACGGTTACCACTTACCATCAGACGGGCCATCAGCTTGTTTGCCATTCTAAGTTGTATAAAAAAAGTAAACATATTTCGCAATAACTAGGCATGCAAAATTAAAAAATCTAGAATGTAGAAATGTTGATTGAATTGAGCATAAAATCAATTAATGAGACTAGGCAATTAGTAAGGCTGGTATTTTGGCGCGTGTGAAAGTATTGCACTAATTTTCTCTTAAGATTTTAAAATGAACGGCTTATAAAATTTATTTTACTTTTAACATAAAAACGATGTCACGGACTTTTTTATAAAGTTAAAAGTAATGAATATTTCCCAATAAATAGATTTTATTCCTTTATTTCACACCGTTCATGCTACGTTCGCCATTATATAAAATTTTTGCTGTCTTCAATTACATTTACTGTGATTAATTATTGAAAATATAATATACCAGTTCCCTTAATCGTCTCTCACGACACTAACTGGAAAGGAGTTAACCCATTCTCGAGGTAGCCCATTCTATTTCGGGACCACACGGCGAAGTAATTTATTATTTTTGTTTTATTATAATTGAAGAATCTTTTTAAATTTAATCGGGTTAAACCGGCCAGGATGTTATATATTTTAAATTACCCACAAATAGGTGAACATAAAGACGCTTAATTGTATTATATAAAAAGGTATTCTTAGTAGTCTATGTTTTGATTTACTTTAAAAATTCATATTAATTATAATAAAAAATTTACAAGAATATAGTGTACCTACATTTTAGATTGGTAAATACACGTACATATTATGTACTTATATTGATAAGTTTATCCTTGATCTATGATACTATGCTCTCTTCTGTCATTCATTCTCTACTCAATTGACGCTGAACTTCAACTACGCTAGCAATCAGCATTGCCAGATTGAGCATTGTTTTCGCAATTTTAGGTAAAAAATTTCAAAGTATTAAATTTTGGAGAAATGAATTTTTTTTAACTTTTTTGATGGAAAGAGAAATAGACTGGAAGATATTTGGATAATTTTTTGGACAGTTTTGGTATTTGTAAAGTTATAGAAGTAATAAATACAATAAAATACATGAATTAAAGTAACAAAGAGAGGATATAAGAGATAAAGAAAATAAGGTAAAAGTAGAAATACAAGTAGGGCTTTCCTTTTATTGTTCTCTTTATGGTAAAATGAAATGGAAAAACGATGCAATATCATGATTAGGTATACGACCTGAAAATCATAATAATTTGGAAAAAAAATGTGACATTTGGGTAAAAATAAATAATTGCATCTGGCAACCCTGCTGGTAACAATTTTTATTTACAATTACCAATCGAACTTAAAGTTTCATAATAATTATATATTTCTTTAAGGATATTACAATATAAAGTAATAAAATGTTTGGTTAACAAGAAAATAAATATCTAATATAATGACTGACTTCGATATATGCAGGATATGTTTAAACACACAAGCAAAATGTTACAAATTCGATCAATTTCGACTCAAGGATTACTACGAGGAAATTTTAGGGTTCAAAGTGAGTCTTTTAAATTAATATAAACTTTCTAGTAACCTCTTAAAAGAAATATAGAGTGAAGATACAAGAATCAATTATCTGTAATCTGTTATGTTTTGTACATTAGTTCTAGAACAGAATTCTGTAGTTCAGTTTAAAAAAAAAATAGTTTAATATTGTTTAGCACCTTCTATTATTATTATTGGGTCAAATCATTATATATTTTTTTTTTTATACAACTTAGAATGGCAACAAGCTGACGGTCCACCTGATGGAAAGTGGTAACCGTCGCCTATAGACATGAGCAGTACCATGGACATAACAGAGTATACTGTTTTGCCCATGATACTCCCCATGCGTTGCCACTCCTGAGGACTCAGATGTTATTCCTCTGTACCCAGTAAATTCACGCTATACATATACATATATCTTTAATAATCTCAATGCAAGTATTTTATTATAGTTATTACAAAGAAATATTCACTTAATTTATATTACTTCTACATGTAGGAACTGAATATAGTATGTAGTGTTATCCTAACAGTGCATTCCACAAATAAATTATGAAACAAACCGGAATTCAAATCAGTGAAAACTCTTAGGGTCTAAACTTGAAAAAAAATGTACTTTTTTTAATTTGACCTACCAAATTGTTGACCTACAAAATTTTTTTTTAATTTTTAACTTGAACCCAGTTAACGCCAGTTTACGACACTATTATTATTCTATTCATGAATCTTTAAAAGTTAAATTGAATGTTATGTTTGCTTACAGATATTGTATCAAAATATATAATTCAAATTTAAATAATCTTTATATAGACTTGTTTATGAGTTTAAATCATCATTTTTTGTAATTCTACTACAGAATTCAGAATGTTGTTATCTGTAAAAAGTGCAACTGATCAAACAAATAAACGATTTGCATGCTACTGTTTCAGGCGAATCCACTAGACAATCTCCCTCATACATTCTGTTACGAGTGCGCCACAATGCTCTACAAGTATCATAAATTCAAAGAGAAATGCTATCTCGGATTGAACTTGCTCACAGAGCTACTGCGAGAAGGACCTGTATGTATAATTTTTTTATGCAACTTAGAATAATGTATAATCTTACTTCCCACCTGATAAAAAAATAATAGCCATAGCTTATAGATATTTTTATCAGAGGGAGACTTTTAATTTGGCCCTTCTTCAACGTTGCTATTTGGTCGACATACGTCCTCTGTCCCATTCGACATCTCCATAAGAAAGAAAGAAAGTTGAATGAATGCAACTTGGCTGTGTTTAATCTTGAACCCGATAAAAAAGTAATAGCCATTGCTTATAGATATTTTTACCAGAGGGAGACTTTGTACAAAAGTTGATAGCTTGGGTACCTCTGTCCCATTCGTGTTTCTACTGTGAAGCAGTTGTTTGCATGGCTATGTTTCGGTTTGAAGGGTTTTTTTTTTGATGGGTGAAAATGGTATGGTAACCCCGCCTGCGCTAACGGGATACGCTGGCGGAGCACCAGTGAAGGGTGATAGATGAGAATGAAAACAGACCAGTTAGCCCATCATAATGAATTCATCAGGAATTAACCATGATAGTTTCTGGAGAAAAGTCACCTGGTTGGGTATATTGTCTCATGTACTACTGGATTCTCAGTCTCCATTGATAACAATCCCTGTTCCCCCTGGTTTGAAGGGTAGGAAATGGCAGTGAATTTACAGGATACAGGAGAATAACACCTTAGTCCTCAGCAATGGCAATGCATGGGGGGTATAATGGGCAAAATATGCACAATCTGAATATTCTGTATGAATCCTGTATGAACCCTCCTTATATTCAACTATGATAGAACCAATCATTTATAATATTTACATAGATCACACATGACTCAGTACTCAAAATAAAAGGAGGATGCAAGCATCTCCAGTCTCCACTACAAATAGTTACAGTATGCGCCAAACACGTTAGGACATACTTCGTCAAAGATAACAATTGTACCACCACAAAAAATCAAATTGAAAATGTAAATGAGAATGTTGCCACAGCGGAAAAAATGTCTGATGATTGTGTCCGTAATGATCCTGAATTTGATCCAGTAGCTAATGATATTGATTCTCCTGATAGTTATAGACTTGAAATCGATGAAACATCGGTTCCTGAATTGGATGAAATAAAAGAAAACAAGCAGATTGATATTATTGTTGAAAATTTAAACGTGGCACCATCATATAGTCCAAATGCGTTGTTCATCGATGATAAAGAAGAAATAATATGCAATGATACTTTCATAGATATCATAGATCATGAAGAAGTAATAAGTAAAACAAGTCATAAAAAGAAGAAAAAGGGACGAAAGAAAAAAGAGATAGAAGTTAAACGGCAAACACGTCGTGAGACAAGGAATAGTTCCAAAAACAAAATCACAATGAGCAAAAAAGAAAATTCTTTTAAGGCTACTAATAAGAAAATGAATATCCTTGAAGGTAAAAATTGGAAAAAAATTACTTTAAGTGAGGAAGAAGCACAAAAGGAATTCAATGCCAGATCAGAAGATCGTAAATACATTGCAGCAGCTTTCAAGTGTACAGATTGTTATAAAGGCTTCTCAAAGGATGAAATGTTAAATAGGCATAGACAATTAAGGCACAATAAGGTAAGCTTTTGTAAAGAACTTATGTAATTTTTTCTTATGTATTTAAAAGTCTTTAATTACTAATAATACAATTGCACATAAATAATACATTTCATGACTAAAGAATAAATAAATTCAAGTACATTGGATCATGTACGTAATGTAATATAAATTGGACTCCCTTTTACGCGCTAAACCTCTCATTTGGCCCTTGTTCGTATGAGAAGCACAAAAGCTTCCTGGTATCTTCACAGAGCGACCTCGCCATTCTGAGGAATTCTAAACGTCGAAAGGCCACGGCTTCACATTCAAGGATTACGCAAACAGCCATTTCTTTAGCGTCAAAACAGCCTTGACATAGAGGGCTGTCTGTGGCTCCTGTTGTGCATATTGGTTCATGCAATAACAATAAATTATTATATAAGATTTTAACTATTCATACTTTTATAATATCTTCTACCCTATATTATATCTCTTCCAACAATTTCCACTTCTATCTATCATGGTTTCACCATTTTAGTCCAGCCGCTTCCTTCAGGTCCTTTTCCCATCTAGTCACTTGTCTCCCTTTGATTCTTTTACCATTGCATGGATTACCATTCGGTCACTTAAACCTCTGCTCATTTTTCTTCTCTAATTGAAAAAAATATGTGGGTAACAAATTTTTTTGTAAATATATTCACGTAAGAAAGAGAAAAAACTGCCAGGCATTGCCTATTTGTCAACCTGTCTTAATTTATTTCTATCGTTTGCCACTTGTCTAATGTGTTTTGACCATGTTTCCGGCTACATTTCTTCAGCAAAATTCTTAGTCAAAAATCTTCTTTTGTTTTATACCACGAAGGTAACAAACAAGTGTATAGCCCGTCTGATGGTAAACGGTCACTGTAGTCTATAGACGCCTGTATAACTAGTGGTGTCACATTCACGTTGCCGGCCCTGAAGAAACCATGAAGGACCAAGGAATACGCTGTTTTTGAAGAAACCCATAATATAGTCTCTAAGGAACTGAAAGGAGCTCATTCCACAGCCTGAGGGTTCGTGACAGTTTCGTTTTCACGCACGAGATGAGATTTCACAGCAGAAAAACTAAAACCGCCTTACAACAAAAAAGTTAAATTTACAATAGATAGGTATTTAATTTGTTTTTTTTTTTATGTGGCAAGACCGTCAAGGTCTAGCAATTGCCTAAAAATATTAATGATATATAAATATTATTATGACGTAATGATTCTGATATAGTTTGTTTTTTTTTCTTCAACAGTCGATCCGGTTCGAGTGTCGTTTCTGCCATATGCACTTCTCAATGGACTGCTATTTGAGAAAGCACATGCGGCAACACTACACCAAGTACGAATGTCAACGGTGTCAACGCATATGCCCCCTGGAGTGAGTATTTAAATAGAACTATTAAAAATATAGTGTTTATAGAATACTAACTAAAAGTTTATATAGATCTTAACAAATATTTTTAACGGGGGGGGGGGGGGGAGGAATTGTAGTAACGGGTTCTAACAGCTCCATTGCTAGCAATATACCCTATCAGGTCGATCTCCACGTGGTTCCCCCTGGAAACCATTGTGGCTAATTCTAATTGAATACGTCAGGTTGGGCTAACTGACCTGCTTTCATCCTCATCAGTCATCTATCACTGGTGTCCCGCCAGTGTATACCGATAGCGCAGACGGAGTTACCATTCCATTATCATCCGTTAAAAAAAATGGTTTCATTGGCGAAACATTATACTCTGTTATGTCCATGGTACTGCTCATGTATATAGGCGACGGTTACCACTTTCCATCAGGTGGGCCGTCAGCTTGTTTGCCATTCTAAGTTGTATAAAAAAAAAAGAATTAAAAATGCATGCAATGCAAAATGCAATGCAAATGCAATGCAAACTCTGTGGCAGTACAGTGAAATAGATCCAGATTGGAACTCGCTACTACCTCATTGAGCAGACGTAGCGCCGTATGTGCCCCGGCATAGAATGAGCCATCTCTTCCTTTCCCGTGGATGTAGTAAGAGGCAACTGAAGGTAGGCAAGGGTTCGGCAGCAGCGTCCCTCTTAAAACATCTCAAAGCCTAACTGCAGTTGCCAACGCGCCTGCCAAGCGTGGCAACTACCGGCAAAACTCCCCTTATAGGGAAGGCTTACGTCCAGCAGTGGACAGTTAACGGCTGAAATAATAATGAAAATAACATGCCCACTATAGGGCCACGGAGGTGTCGAATTTTGTTACTACTGTAATAATATAGTCACTTATACTGTGCTACCACTTAAACAAAGTGTCGCTCTCGGTAAAACTAGAACAATTAACTTCACATCCGACTCGTTCGTTCTTTAATTCCTTCTACACAAAGGTTGTCTGGAAGCGAGTTTAGCCATTTGTACTAGAGATTGTCTTGCCTTTTGTACTACACTCTTTATCAAGAATCCTTCAACAATTCCTGTTATACTCGTATTGATGCAATAAAATGTTATATAAATAAATAAATAAATATATAACAAATCGACTCAGTGCAACGACGAGCTATGAGAATTGTCGACGATCCCATGCTTGCAAGCGGTATCGAACCCTTAAGTCTTAGGAGAGATTTTGCCTCAGTCTGCGTGTTCTACCGCTTGTACAACGGATTGTGCTCAGAGGAATTCACTTTCTACCATCATACGGCTCGCCATCGACAGGGAGTTCACCCTCATACCCTACAGACTAAATGGTCGCGTAAAACGCTGTTTCGGAGATGTTTTCTCCCACGAACACTCAGGTTATGGAATGAGCTCCCTGCCGAGGTTTTCCCAAGAGACTACAGCATGGGGTTCTTCAAAAGGGGGGTAAAGAGGTTTCTTCAGGGTAGGCAACGCGCGTAATACTTCTGGTATTTCAGGCGTTCATAGGCTACGGTAACCGCTTAAGCTTACGGTGGGCCGTTGTTGTAGTGAACCGTATGATTTTAAAATACTACTAAAAACTCGGATAAGAGCTACGTATTTTACGTTAAGCAATCATTGAATTATATTAAACACTAGCGGCCCGTCCCGGCTTCGCACGGGTGGACATTTTTACAACATTTTAAAAAGTGGTTATTGTGACATAACGATAATACTTGGACATATAGTGTCGCGAAGTTTTTTTTTTTTTTGTATTAATTGATATTTTCTTCAATATTGTAGAACATGCATTTGTTCTATCATCAATAGTTTCCGCAGCGCACGCGACGAAAGATATTTTATAGCATTTTTTTTACACCTTGAGTTACGTTACTAAAGTTTTAGTAAGGATCCCTAATCTTTTCTAGCAATAAATATAGCCTATGTTACTCAGGGCGAATGTAGCTCTCTAATGGTGAAATATATTTTGAAATCGGCAAAGTAGTTTTTGAGTTTATTCATTACAAACATACATACACACAAAAATACAAATCTTTCCTCTTTATAATATTAGTGTAGATTTACTTTGTATATTATTTCATAGTCATCATGTCTTTGTTTCAGAACAACAGCTTTATTACATGAGGAGTTTCATACTGGTGATGTGAAGAAATGTGAGCATTGCAACAAAGAATTTCGGTAAGAAGATGAACAAGTCCCCTTCCTTTCCCATGGGTGTCGTAGACGACTAAAAGAGGGCGAGGGATGGGCAGCAGCGTCCCTCTTAGAACATCACCAAAGCCTAACTGCAGTTGCCAACCCGCCTGCCATGCGTGGCAACTACTGGCAAAACCCTCCTCATGGAGGAGACCGGGGAGCAGGGACGACCTCCACGCGATTCCCCCTGGAAACTATCATGATTCATTTATCGCTGAATTCATCACGATGGGCTAATTGACCTGTCTTTTCATCCTCACCTATCACCTGTCACTGGTACGCCGCCAGTGTATACCGAAAGCGCAGCCGGGGTTACCATGCCATTTTCATCCATTAAAAACATCATGGAGGAGACCTATCTTAATGATGATAGGTTAGTTGGCCCATCGTGACAAATTTCCACAAGAATTAGCCACGATGGTTTCCAATGGGAACCTGCGTGGAGGTCGACCTGATAAGGTGTTCAAAATGAACTTTTTTACATACATACATTGATAGATGTAGTTTATTTTTTATATAAAAAAAAAATTATAATCAAATTAATTGTAACAAAATATACATCAAGTCAACAGACGGCATTTTTACTTATTATATATTTTTTTTATTATTTTATTTTTAAATTTTAAGTAAATATAATTAATAATATATACAACAAAAATCAGCATATTTTATAAACATAGGGTATATAATGGGGTGTAATCTCCCCATTACTAACAATCCCTCTCCCCCCTATTCCAGACACTTGTCGACGTATTACACACACCTGCGCACGCACAGGAGCGAGCATGTGTGCACTCTATGCGGGGTGTCATTCGTCAGTATGGCGGGACTGCATATGCACAAGAAAGTCAAACATGTCAACAATGAGATTGTTAGTATTCTACTTCTTATTATATAATTCATTCATTCTGAAAAGTTCTTGAGTGGCGACCGCGTACGGGTAAACGCAGTGCGGGACGACCCCCCACTAGATGGAGTGACGACCTGAAATGCGTTGCAGGGAGTCGGTGGATGCAGGTGGCTCAGGACCGTTCTTTATGGCAGTCTATGGGGAGGCTTATGTCCAGCAGTGGACGGATAGTGGCTGAAATGACGATGATTCACGGTCGTGTGGTCTCGGCATAGAATGCCACCCCTTCCCTTCCCATGGGTGTCGTAAGAGGTAAGACTAAGGGTACTTAATGTTCGAAGGATGAGCAGTAACGTCTCTCTAGAAACATCACGAAAGTCTTAACTGCGGTTACCACACAACATGGCAAATACTATAACCCCCTCCACCCCCCCCCCCCCGTCCTTATCCTCACACCCTAGAACTAAAATGGTCACGCATAGTACAGTGTCAGAGGATATTCCTTCCGCGAATGTTCAGACTGAAGAATGACCTCTCTGCCAGGGGGGAAAGGGATTGTCAGTAATGGAGTTTGACAGCCCCATTGCTAGCAATATGCCTTATTAGGTCGATCTCCACGTGGTTCTTCCTGGAAACCATCGTGAACAATTCTCGTTGAATTCGTTACGATGGGCTAATTGACCTGCTTCATCCTCACCTATCATCCTTCACTAGTGTCCCGCCGGTGTATACCGATAGCGCCGGTGGGGTTACCATTCCATTATCTCCTATTAAAAAGACCTCTCTATCAAAGTTTTCCCTAGAGGCTACAGCATGGGGTTCTTCAAAAAGAGCTTAGTAAGATTTCTTAAGGATCGACAACGAGCACACGCCAACCCTAGGGTTTCATGCGTCCATTGGTTACAATAACCACGATTACCATCAGACAGGCCGTATGCATGTTTTCCGCCGTAGTTATATAAAAAATACTAGCTTTTAGGCGCGATTTCGTCTGCGTTTACCAGAATATATTAATTGATCGAGGTCAATGCTGATCTATGCCCTTCTTCACCTCAAATACGTGTATAATTTAATACCAGAGGGAGACTTTGTACAAAAGTCGTTTGCTTGGGTACCTCTGTCACATTCGTGTTTCTACCGTGAAGCAGTTGTGTTTGCATGGCTGTGTTTCGGTCTGAAGGGTGGGATGTGGCGTGAATTTACACGGCACAGAGGAATAACACCTGAGTCCTCAGCAACGCATGGGGGGTATCATGGGCGAAACGGTGTACTCTGTTATGTCCATGGTACTGCTCATGTCTATAGGCGACGGTTACCACTTACCATCAGGTGGGCCGTCAGCTTGTTTGCCATTCTAAGTTGTATAAAAAAAAATCCTTACAAACTTTTACATTTATAATATTAATAGGATTGTTAACTTAGGAGCGTTCAGAGGACGAGACGAACCAAGAGGAAGTGGACACGTATTGCGAACGATGCGACATACGCTTCGAGACGCGGCGGGCGTACGACGAACACCTGTCGCATTCCGTCTTACACGTGGACAACGCTGAGTGAGTTATCTATCTATCCTATTTAAGAGCTGCGCTCTTGTCGGTGGAGCTCTTGCCACTCACTACGATTGTCAGCGAGTCTCTTCACCTCTTGATACGACATGACACCGACTGCTTCCTTGATCTGCCTGATGTAACTATGTCTCGGTCTCCCTCTCCCCCTTCTTCCTTCTATCTTACCTTCTATTATAATGTTCATAAGTTCGTCGTGTCGTATCAAGTGTCCTAACATTTTTCATTGCTCAATGGAGCACACATGAGTGAGTTAAGAACGGTCAAAGCTAATATTAATATTATATACTAGCTGATCTCATTTACTCCATATTGTTTGTAACAGAGAATCGGACGTAAATCAAGAAGTGACAGACGCGACACACAAAACCAAGTATAGGAAACCAATGCGCGCGAAAACTAAACCGACCACATGCCGGCAAGTGAGTATTATTTATTTATTTATTTATACATTATTATATACAAAAAATTAAAAACATATATGGTAAAATGTATTTATGTGTGTAAGTTTTTATGTATTAATTTTATATTATGTTATATATATTATGTACTTTTATTATTTACAAATATAGGTATATAGAGCTGTTTTTATTGTATTATATATTAATTTTTTTTTACTGGGTATTATTTAGTTTATCTTTAATTGTACGGTTATTACACTTATACATTCTACAGTTTTCTTTCAGCTTCACAAAGGTTGACTGTAAGAGATCCCTTTATGGGATAAGTCCGCCATTGTATATTAAATCATTTATCAGTGTTCAATGTGAATTATGTACAATAAAGATTTTACAATACAATATATAATGATATAATGACTATTAAAATATATAATAAAATACCAAAATCAATAAGAGAACTAGCAGTAAGTCACTTTAAATTACGGTTAAAGAAATGGTTACTGGAATGCAATTTTTATTCAATAAATGACTTTTTAAAAAATCAAATGTATGTATGTAAATGTGTAATTCAGTTGTATTGTATGACATTTGTTATTTTATTGACTTGTTATGTATTTGTTTTTGTTTAGTTTGTATTTGTTTAGTTCTGCTACCATTGGTATGTGTGCGGCTGCCAATATTTATGTATTGACTCCTACTAGGCTATTAATATACGTAAGCCACTAAATTATAATACTAAATTTGCATGCCTTTACATAAGGCGAAATGTGTACATCTACGGCTAAAATGTCCTACATGAATAAATGATTTTTTTTTGAATTTTGAATTTTTTGAATTATATTTAAAACCATTATTATTACCACATTTGGAGCAAATAAATAAATTATTATTATTATTAATAATTATTATTATACTAAAGGTATGCAACATTATTCATTATTATTGTATTACGATAGAATGAGCGAGACAACTATACTACCTGTACTAACTGTACATTTCACATCAGGGGGCAGCGACGTCCCTCTTAAAACATCACCAAAGCCTAATTACAGTTGCCAACCCGCTTGCCAAGCGTGGCAACCACTAACAAAGCCCTCCATTATGGGGGAGGCCTGTGTTAAGCAGCGGACAGTTCATGGCTGATCTGATGATGATGATGATTATATTTGCAGTGCGGCAAACACTTCGAGACGCAGGCGGCCTGCCTGAAGCACCATCTAGCGGAGCATCCGCGCACCGCGTTCACAACAGACAGATACGTTTGTGAAATATGTGGGGTGTCGTTGGCGGTAAGTCATAATATAAAAAATAATTTGTATATATATGTATATATATATATATATATATATTATACAACTTAGAATGGCAAACAAGCTGACGGCCCACCTGATGTAAAGTGGTAACCGTCGCCTATAGACATGAGCAGTACCATGGACATAACAGAGTATACTGTTTCGCCCATGATACCCCCCATGCGTTGCTGAGGACTCAGGTGTTATTCCTCCGTACCCAGTAAATGAATGAATGGTTTATTTTCTCTTCACAAAAGGTAGTATAAAGTGACAACTTAAGGTACAATTTGATATGAAGACCAATTTTTGTGAGAGACTGGTGCTTGCGGTAGGTTTTGAAGGACCTGTGTTACAAGTCACCAGTGCAAATACAAGGCAACCAATTAGTGTTGTAATACACAGAGAACAATAATGAGATATAATAAAGTGCAAGAATAAACTTAACATTCAAACTTATTTCTAATAATTATTACTTACTTATATATAACTTAGGCAAAATTTATTACAAAATACAGACTATGTGCGTGTGCGTGTGCGTGTGCGTGCGTGCGTGTAAAATGAATTAATGTCTTTATTACTTAAAGTATAAATTTTGCCCCTTATATGTTATGCTTTTTATGCTAACCCTAAAAATACTTTCTCCTTTCGGGTTCTCAAGGTTGACTGGAAGAAATCCCTTTAAAGGGATAAGTCCGCCTGTGTACATTTTTGTATAACCTAATATCTATATTATAAGTGAATGTAAAAAGCATATACATAAATAAATAAAAATGTATGACCCCACATATATTTATTCTCAAATCTCCCACGTACAGTGAGATAAACTTTTTTTTTTATTATATTTTTTGTCATATAGCCGGGCAGTATAGCGGCGCACCAAAACAGACATACGCGCCGTAAATTATACCCGTGCGACATCTGTGGGCGCACGTTCAACGTCAGCGTCGTGCTCAAGAGGCATATGTTGGTGAGTATGTATTTATTTATTTACTCACAGATCCGATAAATGTTTTTTTTTTGTCATATAAATTGGAGATATTAGCATCCTAAGGTCACCTAGCGGTATGAAATATACTTTAGAAAGAAAGAAAGAAACTTTATTCTACAGAAATATACGACACAGGGGTTAAAAAAAAATAAGAATTATAACAACGAAACTACACACAATATTTATATATTTATATATATATATATATATATATATAACCATTAACCATGATAGTTTCTAGGGGGAACCGCGAGGAGGGAGACCTGGTTGGGTATATTGCTAGCAATGGGATTTTTAGTCTCCATTACTAACAATCCCTTTCCCCCCTGTATATTAAAATTTGTATGTATGTTTTTATGACATATATTTGTATATTTATGTTATTACATTATTGTTTAATGTATTCATGTATGTATATTTATGTAATCATAATATGCAGTAGTTCTCCATTGTATATGCTGTGATACTTAAATTTCAGTTTTGCCAAAGGTTGACTGGGGGGATGGGATTGTTAGTAATGGAGACTGAGAATCCCTTTGCTAGCAATATACCCAACCAGGTTGACCTCCTCGCGGTTCCCCCTGGAAACTGTCATGGTTAATTCCTGATGAATCCATCATGATGGGCTAACTGGCCTGTTTTCATTCTCATCTGTCACCCTTCACTGGTGCTCCGCCAGCGTAACCCGTTAGCGCAGGCGTGGTTACTATACCATTTTACCCTTAAAAAAAAAGGTTGACTGGGAGAGAATGCTATACAGTACTAAGTCCGCCTTTTGTACCAGAATTTTTTTTGTACTGTGGTCAATAAAGAATAAATAAATAAATAAATATACGCGGTATTTGACAGGTGCATACTGGAGAGAGGCCTATATCGTGCAACTTGTGCGACAAACGCTTCACGAGAACCCAGAGTATGAAGCTGCACTATCGCACTTACCATCTGAAACAGCCCTATCCGAAGCGGTACGTAAATGTTTTTTTTTTTTTTATAAAGTTTCTTTAAGCGAAAATTATATTTAAAATTCCTACTCATATGTAACTAGAATAAAAACATTGTAGCCTCTTCGACGGGCTTCAAAAAAGGAACTTTTCAATTCGGTTGTATTTTTTTGTGCGTGTGTGGGTGCGTGCGTACGTACGTGCTTGCGTGCGTATGTGGTGAGATAATACTCACCAATGTTTATTATATATATGTATGTATATCAACTTTTATAATTTAATTGATTTTTTTATTAGTTAAAAACAAGCAGACAAACTGACATGTTGTTATATGTATATATATTTATATCATGACGCTTGTTCACGGGATTTACTCGCAGGATGCACGCGCAGGCCGCACAGGCGCTTTGTGATTGTTGGCTGCGCGCAGATACCGCGCACGGGCCAGCTACTAGAGAATGTTTGTTAACTTGGACAATTTTGAAATTTATTTGTTTTTTATTGTATATTAATTCCTGTATTTTAATTATTAATTAAACATATAAAGATGAACCCTACTATCAATCCTACACGTATGTGCGTGCGAATATGTACATATATGGAAAAAATATTACAATAAAACTATCATTATTATAGCAGTTGTTTTGTGAGTGAGTGAGACGTGCATTGCCTAGGGACCGTATAATTCAACCCAGTTTGTCCCCCTTCGCGCACGATGTCTATTGGCCGGCGGTGAGGATCATTTTGTCCTTGTCGCACCTTTGTGTCGTCCTACTCTTGCAAGATTTGTATAAGAAACATGTTTTTTGTTTCGCATACTATAGTTACCATTATCAGGTATGGTGCTAAGCTCCTATAATGTTTTTAAATACTATATTTAATATTACAGAAATAGAAGAAAAAAGAAAGAGGACCAACCAGAGGCGCCGGATCCAGATCTCATGTATCTTCTAGACTCTTCTATAAACACAAGATCAACACACAAACATACTCCAAGTTTATTATAGTTATCATAATGTTATTGTAATTGTTTCAATTAATATAATTGAAAAGTGGGATATGGCAGTGAATTTACAGGGTACAGAGGAATAACACCCGAGTCCTCAGGAATGGCAACGCATGGGGGGTATCATGGGCGAAACAGTATACTCTGTTATGTCCATGGTACTGCTCATGTCTATAGGCGACAGTTGCCATTTCGCATCAGATGGGCCATCAGCTTCTTTGCCATTCTAAGTTGTATAAAAAAAAAATATATTGTTTCCATTTAAATAAAAAAACTACGAAATGAAAATTTCCCAAGTTAGAAACCCTTTTAGTTGTTTTACAGGGAATACTTTGACTGTATTGTACGTCATTTCTATTTTATTTTCGTTGTCAGTATTCGTTAGTGTCGTGCTTTAGCTAAAAATGATCACTTGGGTGGTTACGTAGCATTTAGAGCAATACCTGTGTATGAAAGCTATTAATTTTTTTTTTTATATAATTTATTTAAACTTAATAATAATGGCTGTTAATGATCAATTAATGGCTGATATAAGTATCAGCCATTAATCGATCACTGTTGGGCATAGGTCTCCCGATAAGGGGGTTTGCCAGTAGATGCCACGCTTGGCAGGCAGGTTGGCAACCGCATTTAGACTTTGGTGATGTATATTTGAATTTATTTAAATAGCTAATTTTTGTACATGTATTCGCAATCGATTTTTTTATACATATGAACTATATACTACATAAATTATTATACATTTTGTATAATTCATAATTATAATTATTAAAATAATAATTTTAATAATAAATGGTTTGTTTAATTTCTTACTAAATCAATACTTAATCGTCATCACTACAAAGTTCCTGAGTCCTCAGGAATGACAACGCATGGGGGTATCATAGGCGAAACAGTATACTCTGTTATGTCCATGGTACTGCTCATGTCTATAGGCGACGGTTACCACTTTCCATCAGGTGGGCCGTCAGCTTGTATGCCATTCTATGTTGTATTAAAAAAAAAAAAGAAAAAAAGAAAATCGCTACCCTGTCTCTCCCTATATATGCTAAGATCTTTAAAACTACGCAACGGATTTTGATGCTGTTTTTTTAATAGATAGAGTGATTCAAGAGGAAGGTTTATATGTATAATACATGCATAATATAGTACAGAAGTACTGATAATTTTAGAGGTTTCTAATGTGATATGTGACGTAATTATAGCATAAAACAAAAATAATATTAAAAATGTTTATTTTCTCGATAACTTATAAATAACACAATGTACAATTAATAGCATAGAATAATACACCTACATGAATATATTCCGTAAACATATTTTAATGTGTCCGCTCCACCATAATTTATTTATTTATTTATTCTTTATTGACCACATTATAAAAAAAAATTAACGAACTTACGTTAATAATTCAATTATAAAACTAAATTTCAGCTTCTAAATTTCATTATTTCTATCTTTTCTCATGATACTTAGAATGACAAACAAAACTACCAACCTGATGGTAAATAGTAACTCTTCACCTGTACACATAAAGCATCATGAACAGAAGTAACACCCATGGTTACCATACCTGAGGACTATGGTGTTAAGCCTCCTTGCCCTGTAGTTTCACTACCATATTTCACAATTCAAAGCGAAACAGCCATGTGAACTATATGTCACACTTGCCTCAAATGTCGTAAACTACGCCCTTGAAATATGCGAAAATAAAACAGCAAAAGGAATGGAAAAAATTGAAGGGTCTCAGGCATTACCAGAGGGAGACTTTGTACAAAAGTCGATTGCTTGGGTACCTCTGTCCCATTCGTGTTTCAACCGTGAAGCAATTGTGTTTGCATGGCTGTGTTTCGGTTTGAAGGGTGGGATATGGCGTGAATTTACTGGGTACAAAGAAATAACATCTGAGTCCTCAGGAATGGCAACGCATGGAGGGTATCATGGGCGAAACAGTATACTCTGTTATGTCCATGGTACTGCTCATGTCTATAGGCGACAGTTGCCATTTCGCATCAGATGGGCCATCAGCTTCTTTGCCATTCTAAGTTGTATAAAAAAAAATATATTTTTTCCATTTAAATAAAAAAACTACGAAATGAAAATTTCCCAAGTTAGAAACCCTTTTAGTTGTTTTACAGGGAATACTTTGACTGTATTGTACGTCATTTCTATTTTATTTTCGTTGTCAGTATTCGTTAGTGTCGTGCTTTAGCTAAAAATGATCACTTGGGTGGTTACGTAGCATTTAGAGCAATACCTGTGTATGAAAGCTATTAATTTTTTTTTTTTATATAATTTATTTAAACTTAATAATAATGGCTGTTAATGATCAATTAATGGCTGATATAAGTATCAGCCATTAATCGATCACTGTTGGGCATAGGTCTCCCGATAAGGGGGTTTGCCAGTAGATGCCACGCTTGGCAGGCAGGTTGGCAACCGCATTTAGACTTTGGTGATGTATATTTGAATTTATTTAAATAGCTAATTTTTGTACATGTATTCGCAATCGATTTTTTTATACATATGAACTATATACTACATAAATTATTATACATTTTGTATAATTCATAATTATAATTATTAAAATAATAATTTTAATAATAAATGGTTTGTTTAATTTCTTACTAAATCAATACTTAATCGTCATCACTACAAAGTTCCTGAGTCCTCAGGAATGACAACGCATGGGGGGTATCATAGGCGAAACAGTATACTCTGTTATGTCCATGGTACTGCTCATGTCTATAGGCGACGGTTACCACTTTCCATCAGGTGGGCCGTCAGCTTGTATGCCATTCTATGTTGTATTAAAAAAAAAAAAAAGAAAAAAAAAGAAAATCGCTACCCTGTCTCTCCCTATATATGCTAAGATCTTTAAAACTACGCAACGGATTTTGATGCTGTTTTTTTAATAGATAGAGTGATTCAAGAGGAAGGTTTATATGTATAATACATGCATAATATAGTACAGAAGTACTGATAATTTTAGAGGTTTCTAATGTGATATGTGACGTAATTATAGCATAAAACAAAAATAATATTAAAAATGTTTATTTTCTCGATAACTTATAAATAACACAATGTACAATTAATAGCATAGAATAATACACCTACATGAATATATTCCGTAAACATATTTTAATGTGTCCGCTCCACCATAATTTATTTATTTATTTATTCTTTATTGACCACATTATAAAAAAAAATTAACGAACTTACGTTAATAATTCAATTATAAAACTAAATTTCAGCTTCTAAATTTCATTATTTCTATCTTTTCTCATGATACTTAGAATGACAAACAAAACTACCAACCTGATGGTAAATAGTAACTCTTCACCTGTACACATAAAGCATCATGAACAGAAGTAACACCCATGGTTACCATACCTGAGGACTATGGTGTTAAGCCTCCTTGCCCTGTAGTTTCACTACCATATTTCACAATTCAAAGCGAAACAGCCATGTGAACTATATGTCACACTTGCCTCAAATGTCGTAAACTACGCCCTTGAAATATGCGAAAATAAAACAGCAAAAGGAATGGAAAAAATTGAAGGGTCTCAGGCATTACCAGAGGGAGACTTTGTACAAAAGTCGATTGCTTGGGTACCTCTGTCCCATTCGTGTTTCAACCGTGAAGCAATTGTGTTTGCATGGCTGTGTTTCGGTTTGAAGGGTGGGATATGGCGTGAATTTACTGGGTACAAAGAAATAACATCTGAGTCCTCAGGAATGGCAACGCATGGGGGGTATCATGGGCGAAACAGTATGCTCTGTTAAATCAGGTGGGCCGTCAGCTTGTTTGCCACTCGTAAGTTGTATAAAAAAATTCTAAAAAGTTCTTAAACAACAAGACTGAGGGATGGAATAAACTCATCTACAGCGGTGGCAGACAACAGGCAAAACTTATAATGGGTGCCTTAACTGAACATGCCAGTGATATGCCAGTAAGGCATATACTACACAAGATGGGTCTATCTTCGGACACACTGTGCAGACTGTGCGGGGAGAAATCGGAATCCATGGAACACTTGATGTGCAACTACGATTCGTTGGCAAGTATGCGTATGAGTCTACTGGGAACGGCTTATCCGGAGCCAGGGGACTAGAGATATCTTAAACCGCGAGATATCGTAAAGGTAATGCATAGGATCTATAAAATGCTTGTTTGAATCGAAGCATTTGACGTTCCATTGTTTCTGTCTACCTTATTGGGAGACAAGCGTGACAGATATGTGTACGTATGTAAGACAGAGGGATGTACAAGATCCCAATGGGTCGACGTGCAACTGTTTAGCTGAGCCCAAACACAAGTAAAAGATAGAGACTTCGGTGCAGCGGACACACTTAACAAATTATTAATCGCTTCCATCATTTTCTGATCAGAAGAAATCCGAGACCAAAGAAAAATCAAAACATGGTCTCGTATATACGATATATATATATATATATATATATATATATATATATATATATATATATATATATATATATATATATATATATATACGTGCGCCACCTACCCTTTGTCTTTTTCTCAATGTCCTCTACCCAAAGGTTGTCTGGCCGGCATACACAGACCACCAGTGTATGCCGGCTCAAAACCCAGTGACCCGGAGGTAGTTGCCTCCGGTGATGCAGCCGGGGTAAAGGGGTTTACCCCGAGACCCCTACCTCACCCGCCTACACTATTAAAGGCGGGCAAGAAGACCCGGATTGAGGTTGTCTGGAAGAGATTGCTTAGCGTTAAGGCCGCCTTTTGTATCACTTCTCATTAATATTTACTGTATTTGTTATTTCTCTTTTTACTTGGTGCAATAAAGTGTAAATAAATAAATATTAACCACAAATGTATACACAATTTCACGGAGCAGAAATTAAAAATGGCGACAATACAATATTAAAATTCAATTCTTCCCCAGCTTCTTAATCATTTCAAGAATTCTTGACAAGAATATTGTCACTTACTTTCAAATTGGGAATTTTACACAGAAGAAAGAGACAAAACAGTTCCGACTGTTAACATAAGTGTATGAGACTTAACGTTTTTATGAATAAACTAAAATAATAGGGGTAAATTTCTAATGTATTTTAAAATTAAAATTGTTATAAATCTAATCTATGATTGTCCATAATACAGTAATGTATAAACTATCAAAAGAAAATTAAGAAAAGGGCGCGTCAGAATCGGTCTCAATATCCATACAATTTTACAAACAACGATGATCCAACAATCAGTGTCCCAAATGATGTTATGACAGTTTGGGACAGTACACAACCGTGTACATCATTTGTACATAGAATAAATATATATAAAGGTATATAAATTTATATTATAATATATATAATTAATACAACACTCATTTCAGCCATTATCCGTCCACTGCTGGACATAGGCCTCCCCCATAGACTGCCATAAGGAACGGTCCTGAGCCACCTGATATAATAATATATACTTGCATATTTTACATATATATTACTATATATATATATATATATATATATATATATTCTATGTATCAATGATGTACAAACAGTTATATCCTAATTTTAAAGTTATACATATATATATATATAACTTACCCATTTACCAAATTTCATTCAAATCCATTCAGCCGTTCACATGTGATCGACTAACATACATTCAAACATCTTTACAAAGTTTAACATTCACAAGATTAGTAGAATATACAAATACTGGCCAGCCAGTTTTATTGTGTGTAATGTAAAGACAAAAACCGCATCACTTTTTCTATAGCAATTCAAGAAGCTCTGACCAGAGCCTTTGGGGATTTTTCTATTATATATAACAGAATATATTTTATATGCAGCCTAGCTCTTCTCGTCGTCTTTCCTCGCCTTGTCGCCAGTTTGCTCCGGCCGCCGACCAAGCAAATCACGTTTGACGCAGCATTTATCACCCTGGAATAGTCCAAAATAAAATTTATTACAGACTTGCTGTCTGCTCGTTACCCCTTGGGGGGATTATTTTAGTAATGCAAACTACCAGTCGCATTGCTAGCAATGTACTCAGTCCGGTCCACGTGGTCCCCCCTGGAAACCATCGTCCTGAATTCCAATTGTATTCATCACAATGGGCTAACTGATCTGCCTTTTCATTCTCATCTATCACCCCTCACTGGTGCTCCGCCAGTGTACACCGTTAGCGCAGGAGGTTACCATTCCATTATCAGCCATAAAAAAACTCGCTATGTCGATTTTTAAAGCAGGAAAACTAATAAGTTGACCGTGTGGTCCTGGCATAAGTCACCCCTTCCTATCCCGTGAGTGTTATAAGAGCCGACTAAGGTAGAGCGTGGGCTCATGCCCACGCGTCAATAGTAACCCTCTTAAAACATCTCTAAAGCCTGACTGCAGTTGCCAATCCGCCTGCACTGTGTGGCAACTATTAGCAAATCCCCCACCATTTGGATTACAAAGCGTTCATGAACAAAAAAAATACTTTTCAATGTATTTATTGTAGGTTTTTATCACAATTTTAGTTTAATTAAAAAGATTTCAACCGTGACGGAATTCCCGGTCAGCAGTGTTAAAATCCTTTGAAAGGTTTTATTTATTTATTTAACACTTTATTGCACCAACATAACAGGATTTGTTGAACAATTTTCAATACGTATAGTGTAGTACAAAAGGCGGTCTTATTGCTAAGCAATCTCTTCCAGACAAGCTTTGGGTAGAAGGAATTAAAGCATAAATATGTAGGTGGCGCGTTAAAAGAAATAGATCTGTAAGAAATAATATCTATGACAGCATAATCATATACACATACATAAATAAACACACATATCCAAATATATACATACACATACATACATACATACGCATAAATACATACAAATATACCATACTAACACACATATCTATATAAAACACATATAAAACTGTAAATACGTAGGACTAAGTGATTATAAGGACCTATCCTTAACTTAGTTAACTTAAAACTTAGTTAAATCCCACTACCACTATACGAGGTCTGTCCGGAAAGTTCGTATAAAAGTGTTCTGGAATGCGAGAAAGAGGAGTGGGGAGGCCAGGTAAGCGCAGGACCCCTTCCTTATGTCCCTAACAATGCTTCAGTTCTGGTCTGACCGCCGTGCGGTGCGAACTGGCTTGTCACGCCATCTGTGAAGTTACCTCTTAACGAAACCCCGTCGGCATGGAGCCCGCTTCCGTTGAAGAGCAGCGCGTCGTAATCAAGTTTCTCTCGAAACTCGGCAAGAATGGCCGTGAAATTTTTGCCGATCTAATTCGATAAGACATCCGGGGAACCACGAACAAAAAAATCAAGAAAATCCCGCTCAAATGTCAAGACAATGTTGATTGTTTTTTTCGATGGTCGGGGGATTGTCCATCAAGAATTCGTCCCTCCAGGCCAGACAGTTGATGGAAAATTCTACGTCGATGTGCTCAGACGCCTCAAAGCTCGTGTGGCACGAGTTCGTCCAGAATTGGCGCGAGAGGGGCGTTGGATTCTTCACCACGACAATGCCCCTGCCCACACCTCTCTTGTTGTCCGTGAGTTTTTGAGTAAAAATTCCATTACGGTGACCGAACACCCCCTATTCGCCGGATTTGGCCCCGTGTGACTTCTTCTTGTTCCCAAAAACCAAATTGGTACTTCGGGGGCGGCATTTGGGGGACATAAATGAGATAAAAAAAGCTACGACGGGGCAGCTGAGAAACCTACAACCAGAGGACTTTCAAGGAGCCTTCTCACAGTGGAAACGGCGTTGGCACAAGTGCATTATGTCACAGGGGGAGTACTTTGAAGGGGATAAAATTGATTTACCTGAATAATTGTAAAATAAAATTTTTAAAAAACTTTTATACGTACTTTCCGGACAAACCTCGTAGGTAGTGGGATTTAACTAAGTTTTTAAAAATGGGCAACGATTGAGCGCACCGTATAGAGGTAGGGAGTGAGTTCCATAAACGAACTGCTTGCACGGAAAAGGATTTGGGTTCAATGGTGGCAAATATCAATAATTATTGATATTGGTATTTTGTCTCCCTAGGTAATTACCTAGGGAGACAAAATACCTACATCAAACCCTAAGCTAACCCTTTTGGGAATCAAAATCAAAATTGGCGCAAATATCACATTTTTTTTTTTATTTGTTAACACATTTAATGCCATTTCGGACAGTGTTATCCGTTATTATTATTTTTATTTATAGCAATAAATAAAGCAATACAACAATAACTTGCAACACTGGAAATGTCAGTTTACTGCATCGAATTAAAAATCCTACGACAGTGTCCTGGTAGGGTCGTGGCGGACATTGTAGTGCAGTGATCAAACCAACATTCAAATATTTATTTATTCATTAGTACATATATGTGTACATGGCGGACTTAATGCTAAAAGCATTCTCTCCCAGTCAACCATAGGGAAGTATCAGAATACTCGAATGCGGTACTACTAATTATTGATATACATACATACTAAAATTACATATATAAACGAATAAATAACACATATACTTATACATATATGACATATACTACATTATACATAAATATTCAAGTTTCATTCAACGTGTTATGAATATAATAGACCAACCAAATCCGGGTCGCTGGAGTCGTCGCTGTCGCTCGAGGTTTCGGTGTCGTAGTGGCCGAGCCCGGGCAGCACGCCCACGCAGCGCAGGGCGCCCTCTGCCGGCGCCTCCACTGACAACGTACTGGAATTGAACGTACACACAATTACACGAGTGACGGTCTTCCACCGTGCACTTTCTTCTGCGCACAACCACTCTTTGGAATCAACTTCCAGCAGTAGTATTTCCGAACCGATACGACAACGTAACCTTCAAGAAAAGAGCATTTTCCTTTTTAAAAGGCCGGCAGCACACCTGCAATACCATTGGTGTTGTGGGTGATCATGAGCGGCGGTAGTCACTTACCATCAAGTGAGCCGCATGCTAGTTTGCCCCCTGTGTTGTAAAAAACACGATTTTGTTAAGTAACAGCAATGGCTAAGTCGGACAACGCTTGACTGCTACCTTATTTATTTACACTTTATTACGCCAATTAAACATTGACAAAAAAAATTAATTATGCCACATATTTTTCACCACATCTGCCCTTCATACACTTTTTGTTTTCATCTAATGGTTAGCTGGTTTTTTTTTTAAATGAGTGATAATGGTATGGTAACCCCGTCTGCGCTATCGGTATACACTGGCGGGGCACCAGTGAGGGATGACAGATGAAGATGAAAGTAAGTCAGTTAGCCCATCCTGACGAATTAAACTAGAATTAACCACGATGGTTTCCAGGGGGAACCATGTGGATGTCGACCTGACAGGGTATATTGCTATTTGACCCCATTACTAACAATCCCTTTCCCCCCAATGGTTAGCTGGTAGAGAATGCCATATGGCATTAAGCTAGCCACTTGTACAAAGTGTCATTGTACAATAAAGAATAAATAAATAAAAAGACAAATCTTGAAGATTTGAATTATAGTATTAATACCACTACATAGTACACAAAATGACATATTTGCTATGTGTTCCCGGCATAGAATACCACCCCTTCCGTTCCCGTGGGTGTAGTCAGATCCGACTAAGGGAACTCGATGGACGAAGGATGGGCAGCAGCGTTCCTCCTCATTAACCAAAGCCTAACTGCGGTTGCTAATTCGCTATGCGTTAAACCGCTAGAGCGAGGGGAAAGGATTGTTAGTAATTTTTTTTATACAACTTAAAATGGCCAACAAGTTGACGGCCCACCTGATGAAAAGTGATAACCGTCGTCTATAGACATGAGCAGTACCATGGACATAACAGAGTATACTGTTTCGCCCATGATACCCCCCAAGCGTTGCCATTCCTGAGGACTCAGATGTTATTCCTCTGTACCCTGTAAATTAACGCCATATCCCACCCTTCAAGCCGAAATACAGCCATGCGAACACCACTGCTTCACGGTTGAAACCCGAATGGGGCAGAGGTACCCAAGCAATCGAATTTTGTACAAAGTCTCCCTCTGGCAACACTTGAGGGTTGAACCTGGCAAGATAGCAACTAGTGCCACAACCCCCTAATATGGTGAGGCCTATATTCAGCTCTGTCCTGGGTAGTCAGAAGCCAGTGTAATTTAAAAAGTATAATGTAAATATATTACCTGATCACGCCATTAGTTTTGGCTGGTGTTGGACCCTTCTCCTGTTTATCACTATCCGTATCACTTGCCTTCCTCTTACGGACTATCACCTGTTTGTAATAATAAAAAAAAACAAAGTTAATTCACGACCGTCCTGTCAGAAATTAAAGATTTTCTACTACTAGAACTACTGGAACCCTAATGATCTATGGGGGAAGCCAGTGTCTAGCAGTGGACGGATAATGGCTGAGATGATGATGATGAATATAACGCATCGAAATATCATGGGCGAAACAGTACACTCTGTTATGTCCATGGTACTGCTCATGTATATAGGCGACGGTTACCACTTTCACATCAGGTGGACCGTCAGCTTGTTTGCCATTCTAAGTTGTATAAAAAAAAAATAGCTCCGCGAAGCCGGGCCAAATAGCTAGTTATGAATGAAAGTGTAATAAAGCTCAATCTTCTTACCCCCTGTAGTTTGTTCTTCTGCGTGTGCGGCGGCGGCGGCGCGGTACGGGCGGGCGCCAGCTGTGCGCGGAGTCTCAGCATCTCTTCACTTTCAGCAAGGCTCGACACCCGCTCTCTGTAATACGTAATACACAATTATATTACACAGTATCTTGAAAATAACATTATTTGTATTCATTCATCAACATTTCTGCCGTTAATTGCCCACGGCTTCCCCACAAAATGGGTTTTGCCCCGGCATAGAACAGGTGGGGTTTTTTTTTTAATGGTTTATAATGGAATAGAAATTCCGCCTGCGCTAACGGTACACGCTGGGGGAAAGGGATTGTTAGTAATGAAGACTGAGAATCCCATTGCTAGCAATATACCCAACCAGGTCGACCTCCTCGCGGTTCCCCCTGGAAACTATCATGGTTAATTCCTGATGAATTCATCATGATGGGCTAATTGGTCTGTTTTCATTCTCATCTATCACCCTTAACTGGTGCTCCGCCAGTGTATCCCGTTAATGCAGGCGGGGTTACCATACCATTTTCACCCATCAATGGTATACGCTGGCGAGGCACCAGTGATGGATGTTAAGTGTGAATGAAAGGTAGGTCAGTTGGCACTTCGTGAGGAATTCAAGTCACGATAGTTTCCAAGGGGAACCATGTGGAGGTCAACCTGATAAGATATATTACTAGCAATGGGCCTAGTAGTTCTAACAATCCCTTCCCCCTCAAGAAAAAAGTAGGATTTGGTCCCGGCATAGAATAGGCCACCCCTTGTTTTCCTGTAGATGTCATAAGAGGCAACTAAAGGAACTTAACGGTCGAGAGATGGGCAGCAGGGTCCTTCTTGAAATATCACCAAAACCCAACTGCAGTTGCCAACCTTCGTAGTTGCCACGCTTGGCCCAGTTGCCAAACGTGGCAACTACTAGCAAAACCCCCCAATAGGGGGACGCCTATGGTCAGCTATGGATAGATAACGGGTGATATGATAATGATGATGATGAATATTCTACTATAAAGAGAATTAACCAAAACCTGAATTCCTGCATCTCCTTCTGCTCCTCAATTGATATCTGCTGCGCCGCTTTAGCTTTAGTCCTCTCTACCAGGTCCAGGAAGCCGACTTCGTCGTCATCTAGACCTCTGATCATGTTCTCTGCAACATAATTTTTTTTTTAATGGACAATAATAGAATGGTAACCCCACTTGTGTATCGGTAAAGTCGATTGCTTGAGTACCTCTGTCCCATTCGTGTTTCTACAGTGAAGCAGTTGTGTTTGCATGGCTGTGTTTTGGTTTGAAGGGTGGGATATGGTGTGAATTTACTGGGTACAGAGGAATAACACCCGAGTCCTCAGGAATGGCAACGCATGGGGGGGTATCATGGACGAAACAGTATACTCTGTTATGTCCATAGTACTGCTCATGTCTATAGGTGACGGTTATCACTTTCCATCAGGTGGGCCATCAGCTTGTTTGCCATTCTAAGTTGTATAAAAAAAATATATAAAAAAGAAAAATACATTAAATTAAATTGAATATTACAACTATTGAATAAAAATAATAAAAATATTTTACAATGAACAATGTTAACTTCATCCATAGTATATATGTAAAATTTATTACTGCTTAGGTTCAACAGTGTACAGTTAAAGGATAATATTGTCATAGTCGTAGAATACCGACGGATCTATATATGTAATATTTGTCAGATCCGTCAGTATTCTACAACTATGACGATATAATGATGATATATCCATATATCTACACTTAAATATAGATACAACACATCACATCATTACTTCATTCCTTAGTGAGAGAAGCACTTTTGGGACATACAGTTTTAATGTGACTGAAGATCCCAGGAAGCTTCTGTGCTTCTGAGCGGAGCTGGGTTGGCTGTACTACCTATGACTCATACGCACAAGGGCCAAATGAGAGGCTAAGCGCGGAAAAATGTTCAATTTTCATTACATTACATTACATTACAATGTGACCAAAGCCTATACTGATGCCTTTAAACACTTATAGAAATAACTGTAAAGTTTGATACTCACTGAGTTTATGAGCCTCTTCATATTCGGCCTCCTTCTTCAATCTCTGCTCCTCGAGGCGCTGGTACAGCGGCCGGGTATCATATGGTTCCTCTGGTGCCTCTGTAAAGTGTAAAAAATAAATGAAAAGTTAGAATTAGTCTATTCTTTAAACCTCTTTTTCAAAGAGTATGTATTAAAATTTCTTAAGAGTCAGCAATGCACGCATGACATTCCTGGGGTTACATATGTCCATAGGCTACAGTTACCCTGTTTACTGTCAGATGGGCCGTATGTTTGTTTGGCACCATAGTTCTATAAAAAAAAATCTACATAAAGAATAAAAAAATTTAAAAAGTTATACAATTTTTTATTACAGATAGTGAATATAAATAAATATTTATTCGTGTTCCTCCAAAAAAAAATAGTTGTAATAAAAATTACAAGAATGAATGAAGAAATTATACATTTGTACACTAGTTTTTTGCTACACTATTAAGCTTTTTGCTCCCACCATGAGTAGATTTCAAAATGGTGTATCAAAATAAAATATACATACAATTGTATGTTAGCTATTCAGGAATATATCTGTGTAAGCCGCATCTAATTTTGTACAGTAGTTTTTGTGTGATGCAGGAACAAACATACAGACAGATAACAAACTTTCTAAATATTATAGTTTTGGCTTTTATGGCTCTTATTGTGAATGTGTGTGAATGTGAAAAGGACTCCATTTTCTGCGCTTAGCCTCTCACTTGGGCCATTGTGCGTATGAGTCGTGGCTAGTATTGCTCTTATTAAAACCCCCTCATATAACTTTCTTCTTAAATATCTTCCATGGACAGACGTGAGTATGTCGAGACATCGTTACAATTTTGTTATGTTGTTAAGATTACTAATTTATATCTAACATATATACAATATGTAGGTATATAGAGCTGTTTTTATTGTATTATATATTAAATTTTTTACTGGGTATTATTTAGTTTATCTTTAATTGTACAGTTATTACCCTTATACATTCTACAGTTTTCTTTCAGCTTCTCAAAGGTTGACTGTAAGAGATCCCTTTATGGGATAAGTCCGCCATTGTATATTAAATAATTTATCAGTGTTTAATGTGAATTATGTACAATAAAGATTTTACAATACAATACAATATGTCATTTAGTAATTAATTAATTTAACAATATATTAATCCTGATTCCTATCAATAAATCCTGATTCTATCAATAAAGATAAAAAAATATGTTTAGTACCTACTTTTTGTACACTAACATTGTAGATGAAATGAAGTCATTATAGCCAACTTTTAGCATGATTTTTCCAGTCAATCATAGTCTTAGTATTTTCTGTACTGATGCCATTTTTTTTTTGATGGGTGAAAATGGTATGGTAACCCTGCCTACACTAACGGGATACGCTGGCGGAGCACCAGTGAAGGGTGATAGATGAGAATGAAAACAGGCCAGTTAGCTCATCATGATGAATTCATCAGGAATTAACCATGATAGTTTCCAGGGGGAACCTGCGAGGAGGTCGACCTGGTTGGGTATATTGCTAGCAATGGGATTCTCAATCTCCATTACTAACAATCCCTTTCCCCCCAGTACTGATGCCATTTTAATGAATATAATGTACGACCTGTTATTGATATTTATTATTGACCTTTGGTACATAAATACGACGGCCATAAGGACAGTCCTAATTATTATAAAATTTGCTCAATCGGGAATTAAACTCGGGGATCATTTACTAAAGCAACATGTGTTACCATTTATGAACAAATGTAACCTTCAAGTCGAAGTTTATGTTTATAGTTTATTGGTTATAAATAATGTTATTATACCTCTATAGATACATAGAAACGTATAGTTTAAGATATTTTATTACGACTTGGCAAGTAACACAATCCATTTGTAATGCAATAAGAGTTACATCAATACGATTATAAATTATTAAAGTATTTAAAGATTAATCGATTTTATGATAAAAAAAAACTATACCCACCTTTCGGTTGATCTTCGGTGCGAACTTTGTCCCATTCTTCTTGGCGACGACGCCTCGCTTCTAATATTTCTGTTTCGGAAATGAATCCAGAACTCATTTTGAAAATAATTTGAGAAATTTTTGTAAAAATGTGAAAACAACACACGAAATAATGGTTTGCTAGTTGACAATTTTTTGACATTAGCGTAATTAACTTCATGTCACTCAAAGAAAAAAAAAATGTAGAAATCTATGTAACCATCTTTGTGCAGTATTATAAGTAGTAAGTAAATAATTATCCGTTATAGTCATAACCAAGACACACAGTCAGTCGATAACCTGGCATATTGTTTATTTTATATCAACCTTTTAATTTAGTAAAGTTAGCTTAAAAATTTTATTTATCAATATTCTTCATCGTTGTTCTTTTTTTTTTTTTAATTCATTAAATTATTCTTTTATAATTATTATGGTTATAGAGACAAATGAGCAGACAGCCCACCTGATGGAAAGCGGCTACTGTCGCCCATGAATACCTGTGACATGAGAGGAGTTGTATTGCGAGTGTTGCCTTTATTGTCTGTGGCCTGCCAGCATTTATTAGAAAAAAATGCGTGTTTGATGTTTACAAATTGGTTTTTATTTATAAAATGATTGAGATTATGCTAAATACTATTATATTTAGTGCCAATGTTCTCTTTTATATAGTACCCATTCGATACCAAAATATATTCTGCATCTTTTTTAATTTTGACATTGTAAATTACAATAATTAAAACAAGATATTTAGTATAAATGAAGGAATTTATGATAATATTAACGTATAAATAGAAAATAAGAATAGTCTAAACAACATGTATTTTTTTTAAAAGCATACAATGATTTCCAATAATTTAAATAAGTAAAATATCTGCCTGAGGAAAAAAAAATACAAATACAAAAGTCATACATTAAACATTCAAGCAAATTGAGAGCCATTCATTGTATTGACGGTAACTTATTAGGTGACATTGTCAAACAAGCATTATTGATATCATAAAAACATAGTATCGGCAGATTTAATCTGTGCTTGAACGTTTTTTTTTAATAGGTGAAAATGGAATGGTAACCCCGCTTACGCTGTCGGCATAAGGCTAAGAACAAGAAATTACATAGAAGGAATGATAAAATAAAAACTCTAAATCATATGGTTGTCTCCTTACTTCTTATACCAATATAATTGGTAAAAAAAAGAACGAAAGATACACCATCAGTTATTATTATTCTCAATTCATAGTATGAAAAATGTATATGTAAAATTTTTGTTCCAATTGATATGTCAATTATTTGTCAATAACAAATTTTACATTACTAGATTATATATTCGACACAGTTTATGTAGAAAGTATGCATGCAGATTGCGTCTGAATTTGATAGGGTTAACAGCCAATAAAATCAAGTGACATATCTTGATGAATTTGACTTTTACGGACTAATCAAAAGGCAATGCGTTTTTATGTCTATCCCTCTCTAACGCATTTGAAATGTCATAAATATAACAAGCAACACACTATGTGAATTATACATTCCATCTATTCTATTCCGTAATATTTGGTCTACGGAGGTAGTGGGGCACCAGTGATAGATTATAGGTACAAGCTGATAGGGTATATTATTACAATGGGGTTGTTACTGACACCTTATTATTTATTCAATTAAATATCCTATAAAAAATGTTTCGAAAATACTACATACATATAGATTCTAATTTGCGACAAGAAGTATTTTGTTTAACGTCCGTTTCAACCTTCCTTTATTTACTTTTTGTTATTTTTTTTTTACTCACTCGAAGACTATTTTAATATTAAATTTTAAGAGCAAGTTCCAAATTAATTTTTTTTTATACAACTTAGAATGGCAAACAAGCTGACGGCCCACCTGATGGAAAGTGGTAACCGTCACCTATAGACATGAGCAGTACCATGGACATAACAGAGTATACTGTTTCGCCCATGATACCCCCAATGCGTTGCCATTCCGGAGGATTCAGGTGTTATTCCTCTATACCCTGTAAATTCACTGCCATATTCCACCCTTCAAACCGAAATACAACAATGCAAACACAATTGCTTTACGGTTGAAACACGAATGAGACAGAGGTAACCATGCAAACGACTTGTACAAACTTTTGCACGCCACACGGTTGAATACACAAATTCTGTTTTTAACATTAAACACTTCTAATATAATAACATGTATTCAAGGAAAAAAAAAGATATCATTCATTCTTCACTCGTTCAATAGTAAGCACTGCCATGTAGGCAACATAGAATCACGTGGCAAATGCACATTTTTTTAATGGATGATAATGGAATGGACACCCCACCCGCGCTACTGGTATACACAGGCGGGGCACCAGTGAAGGATGATAGGTGAGGATAAGGTAGGTCAGTTAGGCCATCGTGACGAATTCAACAAGAATTGTTCACGATGGTTTCCAGGGGGAACCACGTGGAGGTCGAACTATTAAGGCATATTGCTAGCAATGGGGCTGTCAAACTCCATTACTAACAATCCCTTTCCCCCGGCAAATGCACATTAAAAATAAGTGGTACATGACAAATAAAATACAATGATACTCAAATCATCTTATATTCGATAATGCCACATCAATAGATTAATGACAATAGAAAATATTTTCAAATAATTTAAAAATGTAATCATTATTAGACAGTATAATGTATTATATTTATACAAAAAAAAAAAATTAATTAAAAAATAAATGCTCCTGCTGGATTTATAGTATGTGTCAGTGGTAATTTAATTTTGTTTATTTTTGATAATTCATTTTTAGTATTACACTATTAGTATGAATCAGTAAGATTCACAAAATGTAGCCATTCTATTTATACCGCAGAAAGTTGGAAGAGGCGACAATGGGAATAACTCACAATATGTCGTAATAGGTTACAAAACCAGTTTTGATTTAAAAACTTAATTACTAAACCAATTGTCATAAAATTTCTATGGGATCAATTTGTAAAGAATAAAAAAAGAATTTTTCAAATCGGTTAACAACTGGAGTTATGAAGTAACAAAAATAAAATTAAAAAAAACAACCGATTTGAGAAACTCCTTCTTTTTGAGGTTGGCTAAAAAGAAAGAAAATTTGAATAAAAATCATATGCCAAGTTAGCTGACCAGCGTTACAAATATATTATGTATATATTAAAAGAAAATGTTTTATGTATATGTAGTACCCACAGTACAGGCTCTGCTTATTTTGGATTTAGGGGTAGGTAATATATAGCCATAATTTTTAGTATTTTTTCATAATTTAGTTACAATATCTATTAAATGGTCCAATAACTAATATTTTAAAAGATTGTTAACAAAAAAAAAATTTATACAACTTAGAACGGCAAACGAGCTGACGGCCCACCTGATGGAAAGTGGTAACCGTCGCCTATAGACATGAGCAGTACCATGGGCATAACAAAGTATACTGTTTCGCCCATGATACCCCCCATGCGTTGCCATTCCTGAGGACTCAGGTGTTATTCCTCTGTGCCCTGTAAATTCATTGGATAACAGACTTTTAACATAGTCGAAAATATTTATTTTTATTATCGGATAACTATCCGACCGATATCAAAATGGGTAATGACCTTTTTCCGTCATCAATGCCCAGAGAAATCCAATATATAGATTATAGATCAGTATCCATACTACCCACGCCTAGTTTGAATCTAGGTGGCGTTGTGTAAGATGTTCTGCTTGTAACTTGTACACATAAATCTGGCAGTATTCATTGGATTTAACCTCCATTTTAGGGGGAGATAGCCATGCCCATTAGCGGAACATATAACCTCTTATTCGTAAAAACTAAAACGTCTTACAAAACCATTTTAACTATAAGAGTGTTTTGTCGCTAACTTTCAAATTAAGAACATAGAGCGAAAAAAAAAAATAATAAAACACTTCAATAGCTCAATCAATCAACAGGTTTATAAAAAGTTTGACTTTTTTTATGAATAATGGCGTCAGTTTTTATGTGAGTTATTTTATCGTTTTTAAAAATAGAAAAAGGATATAATGGAATTAGGAAGCTACATTCGAAATTCAATAAATAAACATTACCGTTTTCAATAGTAGAAAAAAAAAACAATTTAATTAAGAATCTCCGTTCGAAATTCAATAAATAACCTTTATCGTTTTCATAACCAGAAAAAAAAAATACAATGGAATTGAGAATCTCCTCCATTCGAAATTCAATAAATAAACATTATCGTTATCAATAGTAGAAAAAAAAAATACAATTGAATTAAGAATCTCCGTTCGAAATTCAATAAATAAACTTTATCGTTTTCATAACCAGAAAAAAAAAAACATTGGAATTGAGAATCTCCTCCATTCGAAATTCAATAAATAAACATTATCGTTATCAATAGTAGAAAAAAAAAAAAATACAATTGAATTAAGAATCTCCGTTCGAAATTCAATAAATAAAGTAAACTTTATCGTTTTCATAACCAGAAAAAAAAAAATACATTTGAATTGAGAATCTCCATTCGAAATTCAATAAATAAACATTATCGTTATCAATAGTAGAAAAAAAAAAATACAATTGAATTAAGAATCTCCGTTCGAAATTCAATAAATAAAAGACAATTAATCCTATTTTTTTATCTACAAACTTCTACGTTAATGTTAAGTAATGCATGTTCTCGTCTGGTCTGTTTATCACATTGGGCGCGTTGGGTACCGGTTCGAGGCCCGGTTCGTGTATAGAAATAATTTCCGGTTCAGGCATACTATCGGACTCTTCGCCGCTCTTCGACTCTTCCGCGTCGGCCGTTTCAGGTAAAAGTTCTTTCTTTTTTCTTCTGTTTCTGTAATATAAATTTGCTGTTATATTATAAGAGGAAAGATATTAGATGTAAAATTTGTATAAAACAGCCTCTGTTCCATCCATATTTCTGCTGTGAAGCAGTTTCTTTTTAATACATGACAATGGAATGGTAACCCCGTCCGCGGTAACGGTATACGCTGGCGGGGCATCAGTGATAGACGATAGGTGAGAATGAAAAGGCAGGTCAGTTAGCCCATCGTGATGAATACACCACACCTGGAATTCAGGATGATGGTTTCTGGGGGGAACCACGTGACGGTCGACCGGACAGGGTATATGGCAGTGAATTTACAGGATACAGAGGAATAACATCTGAGTCCTCAGAAATGGCAAGCATTAGGGGAATCAAGGGCGAAACAGTATACTCTGTTATGTCCATGGCACTACTCATGTCTATAGGCGACGGTTACCACTATTCATCAGGTGGACCGTCAGCTTGTTTGCAATTCTATATAATATATATATATATATATATATATATATATATATATATATATATATATATATATATATATATATATATATATTATATAGAATTGCGAACAAGCTGACGGTCCATATATAAGGATTCACACACAGTTAGCCCTCATATATTGGAGGGGAAAGGGATTGTTAGGAATGGAGATTGACACCCCTATTGTTAGCAATATACCCTATTAGGTCGACCTCCGCGTGGTTCCCCCTGGAAACCATCGTGAACAATTCTTGTTGAATTCGTCACGATGGGCTAACTGACCTGCTTCATCCTCACCTATCATTCTTCACTGGTGCCCTGCCAGTGTATACCGATAGCGCGGGTGGGGTTACCATTCCATTATCACCCATTAAAAAAAAAGCCCTCATATATTTTGAATGTGTAGCTGTGAACTCACCGTTTAGGATATGGCTGTTTCAGATGGAACGTGCGGTAGTGGAGCTTCATACTGTTGCTTTGTGTGAACCGTTTGTCACATAGCGTGCACGCGAACGGCTTCTCACCTGTGTGCGTCTGTAACATGAAACACTAGTGTTAACCGGCGACTGCGTCCGTGTGACGTGTCACAAATTTTTTTTTTGATGGGTGAAAATGGTATGGTAACCCCGCCTGCGCTAACGGGATACGCTGGCGGAGCACCAGTGAAGGGTGATAGACGAGAATGTCATATCAAAGTTATAAAAGATGGTAGGAATGGTAGGAAGATCGAATGCCGGAAGCGGCCCGCGGGCCGTATCTTTCACATGACTGCTTTACAGAAACCACACGACCACTTTTTAAGTTAAGTTGGAAATATTGTATATTCTGTAACTGTTTTTGAAAATTTACAGAGATAAATGCAACAATTGCTGCACTGTCTCAAACTAAAATTATGAACGCATTTAATCGATCATAATGGAATTTTATCAAATGTTGTATACACCACTTGTATGGGTTGAAGAAGGACAGGCTACATTTTATCTAGCTCAATTAATGTGACACGGGGGGGAAAGGGATTGTTAGTAATGTAGACTGAGAATCCCATTGCTAGCAATATACCCAACCAGGTCGACCTCCTCGCGGTTCCCCCTGGAAACTATCATGGTTAATTCCTGACGAATTCATCATGATGGGCTAACTGGCCTGTTTTCATTCTCATCTATCACCCTTCACTGGTGCTCCGCCAGCGTATCCCGTTAGCGCAGGCGGGGTTATCATACCATTTTCACCCATCAAAAAAAAAAAACGATTAGGTAAAAACAGAAAGCGTATGAAGGGCAGATGTGGTGAAAAATATGTGGCATAATTAATTTTTTTGTCAATGTCTTCTACCCAAAACTTGTTTGAAAGAGATGTCTTAGCGATAAGGCCATCCATTCTATTACTTCTTATTAACATTTACTGGATTTATTATTTTAATTGGCGTAATAAAGTGTTAATAAGTAAGGTACTTAACAAAATCATGTATTTTTTACAACACAGGAGGCAAACGAGCATGCGGCTCACCTGATGGTAAGTGACTACCGCCGCCCATGTTCACCCGCAACACCAGCGCCATTGCAGGTGTGCTGCCGGGCTTTTAAAAATATGCTCTTTTCATGAAGGTTATGTTGTCGTATCGGTTTGGAAATACTGCTGCTGGAAGTTGATTCCAAAGAGTGGTTGTGCGTGGGAGAAACTGCTTTGAAAAACGCACGGTGGAAGTAGATGTAAAAGCTTTTAGTGGTAGAAAAACTGTACTCACCACTAGGTGTCGCTTCAGACCGACGCTGGCGTGGAACGAGCGGCCGCAAATGTCGCAAGGGTACACCCTCTCCCTGGTGTGAATGTTCTGGTGAACAGCTATACTTCCTGGCTGATGGACAGAAAGAGAATATACCAATTGTCCCTGTGACATTTACTGACATTGTTGGAAATTCGATATCATAATAAATATGTCCACGACAGGGTTGCCAGAGATATTTAAATGTAATTAAAACATCAGAATAAGTAAAACACCAGACTTTGTACAAAAGTCAATTGCTTGGGTACCTCTGTTCCATTCGTGTTTCAACCGTGAAGCAGTTGTGTTTGCATGGCTGTGTTTCGGTTTGAAGGGTGGGATATGGCGTGAATTTACTGGGTACAGAGGAATAATACCTGAGTCCTCAGGAATGGCAACACATGGGGGGTATCATGGGCGAAACAGTATACTCTGTTATGTCCATGGTACTGCTCATGTCTATAGACGACGGTTACCACTTTCCATCAGGTGGGCCGTCAGCTTGTTTGCCATTCTAAGTTGTATAAAAAAAAAACCTGCCCAGGAATATGAAGAATAATTGTACCAAGTTTCGTTAAAATCAGTCGAGTAGTTTTTGTTTCTATAACGAACATACAGACAGACAGACAGACAAAAATTATTAGCTTATAAGTATTGCTTTGCGTAAATGAGATTTTGGGTTCGATTCCGGGTCGGATCAATTTATCACGTGTCCATAAAATAAAAATCAAGTAAAACATACTCACCGCTAAAGAAGCGCCGCATATTTCACATATGTACCTCTCAGTCGGCGGACAGAAGGAGGTGCGCGGGTGCTCCGCTAGATGGTGCTTCAGGCAGGCCGCCTGCGTCTCGAAGTGTTTGCCGCACTGCAAATAATGTGGAAATTAATTGTAATTATTTATGTCGACTTTACTGACGTTTTAAATTCGGCGATGGCTGACTAGTTTCGAGCTCAACAGGAGCCCTTAGTCATGAGCGCAGTTCATAGCTTCGAAATTGAATGAAAATTTGCCTAATTGAGTTCAAAACTAGTCAGACATTAGAATACAGTATGAAAATTAATAAGAAAAATAAAATAATTTGTACTGAACCAACGATTTGTTTTTTTTACATAGCATAATTAGTTGCGTTCTTCTTCCATACACGAGTATTTTTTTTGGTGGATTAAAATGGAATGGTGACCCCGCCTGCGCTAACGGGATACGCTGGTGGAGCACCAGTGAAGGCTGATAGATGAGAATGAAATGAGGCCAGTTAGCCCATCATGATGAATTCATCAGGAATTAACCATGATAGTTTCCAGGGAGAACTGCGAGGAGGTCGTCCTGGTAGGGTGTATTGCTAGCAATGGGACTGTTAAATCTCATTACTAGCAATCCCTTTCCTCCCTACCATACACGAGTATTAGAAGTATTGCATACTTAAAAAAAAAATATCCCGCCTTTTTCAACAATCGTGTACAATACCACAGATAATAAAACGGTGGTTAAGAAAAAACCAACATTCTGTAATGTCCATGGTACTGCTCATGTCTATAGGCGACGGTTATCACTTTTCATCAGGTGGACCGTCAGCTTGTTTGCCATTCTAAGTAGTATAAAAACAAATGTACTCACTTGGTGACAAGTGGTCGGTTTAGTCCTCAGTCGTTTAGGCTTCCTACGCCTTGACTTGGTCGCGACGCCGGTGATTACCAGCTCTTGATCAGGTTTCCTATTGAAAAAAAAAAACAAATCTGATTAGATCTATACCACAGACTATGTAATGGGTGATTTTATTATTTATAGTAGCTTAAACACGATTTTGTGTGATTGATATTCTTTTTTTTTTATTTTAAGTCGGTAGAAAAAGGGAACAATATGCAATTATGGTAATCAAATGTGTTTGTACAGAGAGAGACATGCAACACAATTTAAACCCAATTGCATACATTGAAAGCCTCTTTTTTTTTACAACACAGGGGGCAAACGAGAACGCGGCTCACCTGATGGTAAGTGACTACCGCCGCCCATGATCACCCACAACACTAGAGACATTGCAGGTGTGCTGTCGGCCTTTTAAAAAGGAATATGCTCTTTTCTTGAAGGTTATGTTGTCGTATCGGTTCGGAAATACTGCTGCTGGAAGTTGATTCCAAAGAGTGGTTGTGCGTGGGAGAAAGTGCCTTGAAAAACGCACGGTGGAGGACCGCCACTCGTCCAGATGGTTGGGATGAAATTTTAGTTTATGGCGGGTTGTACGATGGTGAAAATTAGCAGCAGGTATCAATCCGAACAATTCTATCTAATCTAATAATACGTTTAGTATTATTAGATGTATGTAGTACAGTATGGCCAAACTAAATTCTGTTGTGACCATTTTGTGTTACTGTGGCGAAATACGCACGAAAAATTATTACTTCTTTTATGTATTTTCCTTCATTTGTGTATGTATTCTTTAGTTTTTTGTATGTGTATTTATGTACGTTGTTATTTGTGTTTTTTTTTTAATAGATAATAATGAAATGGTCACTCCGCCTGCGCTAACGGTATACACTGGCAAGGCACCAGTGAGGGATGATAGTTGAGAATGAAAAGGCAGTTCAGTTAGCCCACCGTGATGAATAATATACCTGGAATCCAGCACGGTTTCCAGGAGGAGATCACGTGGAGGTCGACCTAACAGGGTACGTTGCTAGCAATGGAACATAGTCTGCATTACTAACAATCCCCCCCCCCCCCCGTTTTTTCTGTATTGTAAGTAATGCAAATAAATTATATATTTATCTATCAATTTTTTTCACTTTTCAAGTAAAAAAGTATATTAATTTGGGTAAAAATATTTTATTTATTTATAAATTTCCATTTTCAACTCACCTTTTCCTTAACTCAGTTGCAATCTGAGAAAAAAAAACAGAAACATTATTATAGGAAAATTGAAATGTTATAATTGAAATTGTGTCTTACATAATAAGAGTGAAAGGGACTCACTCACCTTCGCTTGCTCTTTCTTGCCGAGCACTTTTCTTGGTGCTGGCGTACTATTATCCTCCTGGGAGTCGTTACTGAAACATTCAATTAATCAATAATTAATTTAAAAACAAATTTTACCAGAGGGAGTGTTTGCATGGCTGTGTTTCGGTTTGAAGGCCATATCCCACATGGCGTGAATTTACTGGATACAGAGGAATAACACCTGAGTCTTCAGGAATGGCAACGCATGGGGGGTATCATGAGCGAAACAGTATACTCTGTTATGTCCATGGTACTGCTCATGTCTATAGGCGACGGTTACCGCTTTCCATCAGGTGGGCCGTCAGCTTGTTTGCCATTCTAAGTTGTATAAAAAAAAATAGTTTATTAAAATTAATAACACATTGGGACTTCCTTTCCTTTCTTTTCTCGTGAGCGTCGTAGGGGAACTTAACGGTCGAGGGACAGGTTGCAGCGTCCCTCTAAAAACGTCACCAAATCCTAACTGAATGCTGCTGAATGTGGCAAGTACTGGCACAAAGTAAAATCGATCTAATACTGCAATGGATTTCAGCACACGTTGGCTTACAGGGCAATGAAGAAGTAGACTGTTTAGCTAAACTAGCCACAGAGGAGGGTAGGGAATATCAGTCATTACCACATTTTACTGGATTTAAATTTAAAAAAATAATCAAATCTAGAGAAAGTAAATAAATCAGTTCAGGGTACGATAGGGCTGATATAATATAACTGAAGAAGGCAAAAGCCCTTAAAATAAAAAAATAAAATAAAAAAAACTACTGGCAAAAACTCCATTATGGAGAGGTTTCCGTACCTTGTAATTTCACAGCCACATCGCATCCTTCAAATCAAAACGTAGCTTTTTTTATACCACTGAGGTGGCAAACAAGCATACGGCCCACCTGATGGTAAGCGGTTACCGTAGCCTATGAACGCCTGCAATACCAGAGGTATTACGCGCGCGTTGCCGACCCTGAAGAAACCTCTTTACCCCCCTTTTGAAGAACCCCATGCTGTAGTCTCTTGGGAAAACCTCGGCAGGGAGCTATACAAAAGAAATTATACTATACAGCAAAAACAGAGCTGGGAGAAAAGTATCTATGCCCACAACTATTGTACAAAATCTCCTTCTGGTTGTTAATAAATAAGCTTCCAAAAACAAGATGTTTATTAAAAAAAAATCAAAATCAAAATGTGACATTCGCATGCTATTCTGTAAATGGCTAAATAGGTTCGAAAAGTTTACGTTTTTTTTTATACAACTTAGAATGGCAAACAAGCTGACGGCCCACCTGATGGAAAGTGGTAACCGTCGCCTATAGACATGAACAGTACTGTGGACATAACAGAGTATACTGTTTCGCCCATGATAGCCCCTATGCGTTGCCATTCCTAAGGACAGTCAGGTGTTATTCCTTATTATTATTATTATTATTACCAATCGGCTTCTATGTGCAGTACAGAGTGAAACAGATGCTCGTCGTACGCCTTTCGCGTCTCGAAACGAATATTGCACCGCTCGCAGTACGTGTTCACTTCTTCTTCATCATCTGGACTTTCCTGCGAAAATTTAGAGTCATATAAATTCTTTGTCTTCGCTGTGTGGTCCCGGCATAGAACGAGCCACCAATTGCCAGCGATGACTTGTGGAACCAATGGCCCTTACAAAACAAATTGTAACGTCTTATTACGTAACTATATCGCCGTGTGGTCCCGGCATAGAACGAGCCACCAATTGCCAGCGATAACTTGTGGAACCAATGGCCGTTAAGAAACAAATTCTAATGTCTTATTACGTAACTATATCGCCGCGTGGTCCCGGCATAGAATAGGCCACCCCTTCCTTTTCCGTAAGTGACGTAAGAGGCGACTAAGGGAGGGCGAGGGATAGGCAGCAGCGTTTCTCTTAAAAAATCTTTAAAGCCTAACTGCGGTTGCCAACCCGTCTGCCAAACGTGGCAACTACTGGCAAAACTCCCCTGGGGAAGGCTTATCTTAAGCAGTGGACAGTTAGGGGGCAGCTAATGAATTCTCACCAAATCTCATTTAAACCGAGGGGGGGGGGGGGGGATAATAAAAAATCTCACGTCAACTTCAAAAAATATAAAATAACATGTAAAAAACGAATATTACACAAAAATAACAAGAATAATATAAAAAGATTTAACTTAAAAAACGTCTGAACACAAATACTCTGTGGTCACTCAACGAAACTCCAGCAAGTTGGAGGCAAATACATCCAATTGCGGATACTGGCTCAAAATAACATTGAGTAGTTTCAATGCAAGAGATAGGGGAGCCTGCTTAGCGAACTCTGTTCTTCGTAATGGAACATCGAATAAGTGCCGTCGACGTGCTCGCACGTAGTTACTGGGCGCTCCTATTGATATTGATTCCAGTACAGTTTGGTTACATCCCCCCCCCCCCACCCCCAGCACAATAACACATACTCAATTAAATTTAGTTTTCGTCTCACTTCAAGTGTATTTTTTTTTTATGGATGAAAATGGTATGGTGACCCCGCCTGCGCTAACGGGATACGCTGGCGGGGCACCAGTGAAGGGTGATAGATGAGAATGAAAACAGGCCAGTTAGCCCATCATGATGAATTCATCAGGAATCTCAGTCTCCATTATTAACAATCCCTTTCCCCCCACTTCAAGTGTATTATAGCCCACCATTCCCAACAAAGCAAGTAAGCAGCATACTAACGATCTCGTTGTTGACGTGTTTCACTTTCTTATGTTGGTGCAGACCCGCCATACTGACGAATGACACCCCGCATAGAGTGCACACATGCTCGCTCCTGTGCGTGCGCAGGTGTGTGTAATACGTCGACATATGCCTGCGATGGGGGAACGTTGTGCTATTATTTCAGCCGACTTAAAAAAAAAGGAGATAGATAGATAGATACTCTTCATTGTTTCCTCCAAAAGTTTACAATAGTAAGCTTATTATAAATATAAATAATTACAAGAAATAATCACAATGAGAAAACAATGGTCGACCTTATCGCTAAGAGCGATCTCTTCCAGGCAACCTTTGGATGGAGAGGAGTAATTATAAATAATTCTTCAGGTTCTCAAATCGGTGGCATTTTTTTGTTTGTAACCTGAGAACTTCGTCATTATCCCACAAGTACGTTTCGTTAAGTAGTTATTACGTGAAAAAGTAACAAACATACTCGCTTGGGTACCTCTGTCGCATTCGTGTTTCAACCGTGAAGCAGTTGTGTTTGCATGGCTGTGTTTCGGTTTGAAGGGTGGAATATGGCGTGAATTTACAGGGTATAGAGGAATAACATCTAAATCCTCAGAAATGGCAAGCATTAGGAGAATCAAGGGCGAAACAGTATACTCTGTTATGTCCATGGTACTGCTCATGTCTATAGGCAACGGTTACCACTTTCCATCAGGTGGGTCGTCAGCTTGTTTGCCATTCTAAGTTGTATAAAAAAAAATGTACTTACCTAAATTCTTCATCACAATGTATGCATTTCCTAAGTACACCACTATGATATTCTTCATGTAACAAGGCTGTGGTTCTGAAAAACAAGAGGACTAATAGTAAATGCCACATAATTACACCTATTGAGGGAAAAGAGATTGTTAGTGACGGGTTCTGACAGTGTCATGACCAGCAATATACCTCACCAGGTCGACCTCCACGCGGTTCCCCCTGGAAAGTATGGTGGTTGGTCCTTATAAAATGTTTTACAATCAACTCCACACGACATACCTACTAGGGGAGAAAAGGATTGTTAGTAATGGGGTCTAACAGACCTATTGCTAGCAATATACTCTATCAGGTCGACCTCCACGCGGTTCCCCCTGGAAACCATCGTGACTAATTTATCGTTGAATTCGTCACTATAGGCTAACTGACTTGCCTTTTCATCTTCACCAATCATCCCTCACTGGTGTCCCCTAGTGTATACTGACAGCGCAGGCACGGTTATACAGTACAGAGGAATAACACCTAAGTCCTCAGGAATAACAACGCATGTGGAATATCACGGGCGAAAAAGTATACTCTGTTGTGTCCATGATACTCTTCATGCTTGTAGGCGACGGTTACAAATTTTTATGAGGTGGGACGTCAGCTTGTTTGCCATTCTAAGTTGTATAAAACAAAAATCTTTAACCTACGCCTGTGAATGGATGCGTGTATTGATAGAATACTTACTCCAGCGGACAGATCCTGTTGCATCGTAGACATTCGTATTTGGTGTAGTGTTGGCGCATATGTTTTCTCAAATAGCAGTCCATCGAGTACCGCATGCGACAGAAGCGACATTCGAACGAATGTGATATCTGTTGAAGGAACAAATAGTAATCCTTACTAATATTCATTTTATTTTATACCACTGAGGTGGCAAACAAGCATACGGCCCACCTGATGGTAAGTGGTTACCGTAGCCTATGAACACCGGCAATACCAGAGGTATTACGCGTGCGTTGTCTACCCTGAAGAAACCTCTTTACCCCCCTTTTGAAGAACCCCATGCTGTAGTCTCTTGGGAAAACCTCGGCAGGGAGCTCATTCTACAACCTGAGTGTTCGTGGTAGGAAACATAATTCATTCACAATAATTGTAAAGTGGACGTCAATATCATATCAGACTGTAACTGGCCAATGCTAAATATAGGTTTCCCTCTATTGCGGGGTTTTGCCAGTAGCTGCCACGCTTGGCAGGCTATTATTAGCTAATCGAGGCTGTGAGAAACAGTACTGTCTGGTAATCAGTCCAATATTATAATGCTTCTTTAAACTACCGGCCTTTATTTTAATTTACAGAACAGTGTATTTTATTACAAATATAGACATATTTGTAATACTCCTTTCCGCTTTAGGTTTGTTGGGCGAGAACTCTTCTAAAGTTAAGCTCGTCTTTGTACATTTGATTACCTCCGTCATACTTTTATGTATTAGTGTTTACTATAAAGTATAAAATAAATAAATGAATATTTCAATTACTCTTACCTCATTATGTCTTAAGTGTTTATGCCTATTCAACATCTCTTGTTTTGAGAAACCTTTAAAGCAATCTGTACACTTGAATGCTGCAGCTATATACTTTGGATCCTCAGATCTGGCTCTGAACTCTTTGATTGCTTCTTCTTCATCCAACGAAATCTTTCTCCAGTGTTCACCCTCAAGTATGTTCGTCTTTTTATCAATAGCTTTAAACGAGTATTTCTTTTTATTTGGCGTAATTGCTATTGTGGATGTTTTCCTTTTTTTCACTTTAATCTCTTCACTTTTAATTTGTACAATATCTTTTTTATCGTCTACAAATACATTTATTGGACTACAAGGTAATTTAACATCTACTTTCTCCTCATTCACAATTTCTAATTCTAGTTCAATCTTCTTATCTTCTGTTTCATTGATATTTTCATCAATTTCTAAATTATGATCTATATCATTATCTACTGGGTCATTATCTGGATCGTGATGATCACTATAAGAGTCATCATGTACACAATCATCGTCTACCGCTTCAATTTCATTCTCATCATCTGATATATTCTTCTTCAGTCTAGCCTGATCATCATTATTTTTAATATTAAACTGTTCATCATTACTCTCCTTAAGATTAGATTGATTATCATTATTAGATTCATTAATAAAATATGTCTTGACTTGGGCTGTACTCACAGTAATTATGTCTAATGCGGAGCAGAGGTTTATACTCTTTCTGTCTACTTTATACACAGCTTCATAGGTTATCTGTAATAGTGATTTGATTAATATCTTTACATTGTTACTTTACATTTACCAGAGGGAGACTTTGTACAAAAGTCGATTGCTTGGGTACCTCTGTCCCATTTTTTTTTTGGATGAAAATGGAATGATAACCCCCGCCTGCGCTAACGGGATATGCTGGCGGGGCACCAGTGAAGGGTGATCGATGAGAATGAAAACTGGCCAGTTAGCCCATCATGATAAATTCATCTGGAATTAATCTTGATAGTTTCCAGAGGGAACCGCGAGGAGGTCGACCTGGTTGGGTATATTACTAGCAATGGGATTCTCAGTCTCCATTACTAACAATCCCCTTCCCCCCCACCTCTGTCCCATTCGTGTTTCTACTGTGAAGCAGTTGTATTTGCATGGCTGTGTTTCGGTTTGAAGGGTGGGATATGGCGTGAATTTACTGGGTACAGAGGAATAACACCCGAGTCCTCAAGAATGGCAACACATGAAGGGTATCATGGGCGAAACAGTATACTCTATTATGTCCATGGTACTGCTCATGTCTATAGACAATGGTTACTACTTTCCATCAAGTGGGCCATCGGCTTGTGTGCCATTCTAAGTTGTATAAAAAAAAATTGTCTTTACAATATGCAATATGTGTAAGAAATATGACTTAAATAATGTAGAATATAACATTATGGATGCAAAAATAATTAAAATATTGGAGCAGTAAAATTGCAAACAAACTTTTTTCTTTTCTTATTCTGCTTATTGGCAATTGTTTCCATTTTAAACAATAATCCAATATGCTGTCCAAATACATTAGTTTTTGGGTAATAATGGAATGATAACCCTGCACCTGTACTATCAGTATACATTGGCAGAGCACCAGTGAGAAATTATAGGCGAGAACAAACTTTGTCACTTAGTCTAACATGACAGATTCAACAAAAAATCAATCACTATGGATTCCAGGTGGAACCATGAGGAGGTAGATTTGATAAGGTATATTACTAACAATCCATTTTCCCCCAATCTTGGATTGGGATGACAAGAAGGTGGAATAAAGACAAAACAATCCTATTCCTCATCTCCCTCCTTCATTCAATAGTAGTCTTAGGTCATGTTAATGAAAAAATATCATGACATGGGATATGTATATATTAAAATAATTATAATGAATATACCGACAGGCCCTCTCCACAATATTTCTCTGAGTACTTTCTGTCCAGTGTAGCATTTTTCCTTAAACTTGTGGAATTTGTGTAATAATGTTGCACACTCATAACAGAAGTAGTGAGGTAGGCCATCTGTCAAATTTACCTAGAATAAAAAAAATATTGTTTACTTATATGAATCTTATTACAGAAAAAAAAATTGCAACTAGACTATGTCTGTACATGGGATATATTTAAGAAAAATTCATATTACATTTAATTAAAACAATACAAGCCAAAACAAGAATATTTTTAAATTATGTCTACCTGTCCCTCTTAAAATTTCTCTAAAGCCTAACTGCGGTTACCAATCTGCCTGCCAAGTGTGGCAACTACTGGCAAAACTTATGCTTATGTTCAGCACTGGACAATTCAAAGCTGAGATATTTGATATTTGCCTGTCTATATTAGTTCTGGCACCACACATAAACTACTGCAGTAAATATGGATTTTATAGTTTGTTCTTTAAAGGTCTAATTTAAAATTTGGATTATGTTTTATCTTGATACACCATCTAGAAGTAGTTTTCCTGCTACTGAAAACTCCGCATATAAAGTAGAAGGCGGAGAACTAGTATTTAATAAAATATATATAAAGTGTTACCAAATAATCTGCATTCCCTTTAAGGGGATATAGTATTACACATATATGTTACGATAATGATAGAATTTCATGTCTCAGATGTCATAAAATTTTACATCCAACAAAATATCCTTAATAAATAAATGTAAATTTTTCACCCCGTGTCAAAAGTGCCTTTTCAAAAACATTATGCTAAAACTGACGATGTGAGCGTGAACAACAATATGATAGAGAAAAGTATAGTTATGAGGATGTTATGAAGAAACTTAAGTATTTATTTATTAAATTTTTTTAAAAATAATTTCTTACTACTTAGACATGAAATTTCTTTTTTATCGTAATGTATATATCTAATACTATGCCCTGTAGTAGGGAATGCAGATAATTTGGTAACATTTTATATATAGTGAAGTCAATTAGACACTGATAAGAATCTCTGGAAGAGTGAGCAAGGAGATCTCACTCTTGAAGACCTCACTTTGGAAGAGTTAGGTCTTCTAGGGCAGGTATTTATTTACAGGTATATTCAAAAGCATAACTATATATTTTTTAATTTTCATGGCTCTATTCATAGAAATGGTTATATTTGAATTACAGAGTCAATAAGGAGACTAGTATATTTCCATTAATAAACATACATAAAACTTACTTTTAACGCCATAACTTCTTCATAATAATACTTGAGCTGGAATCGATCGAATTTGTAAATTTTGGATTCGGTACGTAAACATATCCTGCATATTTTTAGTTCCGACATTTTATATTATAAAATATAACACATACTTAATGGTTTGCTTATATAAATAAATAATAACAAATTAGAAAACGCAAATCAAAACTTAAAATTAAATATATCAAATCTATTCCAATTCCAAACACAGACTATTTAGAAAACTCCATTCATTTATGAGATCGATTCTGATGCACTTTTCTCCAAACCTATCAGTAGAAACTAATATGTATTATAAATTGATAGTGTCAGAAAAGAACTATTTTGTAAAGAAATACAAATTAAATTTATAATAATTTTGACTTAAGTCTATTAAAAAGTTAAGATTTCGATGTAATATCAAATTGAAGTTTTAATTTTAGAAATAGTTTAGAGAATGTACTTCAGAATCGAACCCATTTTGTTATTTCTCTTTCTTGCATTATCTGTTCTTTTGTCAATGTCGTGCTGTCACGTTCGCTATGTCATTCATAGATATTGCAATTGCAATTTGTCTTTCAATTTGTCAAAATTCAATTAGTATTTAAGTAATTTATTCCAAAAAATTCTAATAGAAAGCCGGTTAGATTTTACTCTACTTAAATTTTATGTTAAGTAAGTGTAAATTATTTAATTTTGAATAATTTTCATCTAAATGAAGTTTTGTACCCACAGTAAGATCTTCAGTATATCTCTCAATATGTCTGAGACAGAAAATAATACTACGACTCCTGAAGATGACCAAACAGAATACGTCGAAGATGGCAAGAACAAGATGACTATAAAATGTCAATTCTGTGGATCCAAAATACTTGAAAAGAAAACTGCCAAATACATTCCACAAAAGGTAGTGTTAAGTTTCGTGAATTCTTGATTTTTTTTTTCTACGTTTAACTAAGTATTCAAGTTAAAAATATATTTATGGTACTCTTGTTTTTGAAATTATGTTAATAACTAATTTATATGTACGAAATTACAGAAAGAACTGCCGCTAATGAAACAGGATGTAAATAGAAAAGAAGGTGAGGTCCAAAAAGAAATGTTAGATGGGTATTATCATGTAGAAAACATGTATATTTTTGAAAATATTGGTTTCACCCATCAAGTGGAATCATATAAGTATTTAATATGTGCTGACTGTGATGCTGGGCCAGTGGGATATTATGATTTGGATACAAAACATAGTTATGTTGCACTGTCTAGAGTAATCCACTGTTAGTTATGGGACCTATTTGTCTACTCAAAGAATGGATATCAGGATAGGTGCTTGAATGTTTGTATAAAGATTGACAATTGAACAGGGCATTAATTGAACAATGAATATTGAAAAAAAAAAATGTAACATCATTGCCTAAATTAAAAAGTAAAATAATGTTTATGGTTCATTAAAAAAACAGTTGATATTTTTACTTTCTTTTTTTTGGTTTTTAATTTTTTTTTTTCATTTTCTTGATGTAGTAATAACTTTTAATTGCTACAGTAATTATTTCCTCTTCTGTAATCAATAAGTCATAGACTTTTTAATAACTGCTACTTTTTTTTCTCTGCTCCTATATTTGCTCTACTGTTACATTATCTCGGCTCCTATATTTTTTACTCAATTTATAAAAGTAATGCTATATGTAACTTAACTATATATTCTGTCTGTTTATATGGTTGTTTATCTTTTTGATAAGTACATAAAAATTAAATTTTATAACTGTTTTAAATAGATGTACTTATCTATGTCTAGTTGCTTAAAATGCTCTTTTTCATTTGAAAAAAAATTATTATATTAAATAAAACATGTATTAAGTAAAAAATGTATGTAATTATACATTTTATGTTATAATTTTATTACAGCATATCTGCTTATAGTAGAAATATAAGATTATATATTTTAGAAACATTTTTTGTTTTTATTCATGTATGAAAATTGGCATTCTAGAAAAAAATTACCTGTCAGATATCATCATAGTTGTAGAATACTGATGGATCTGACAAATATTACATATATAGATCTGTCAGTATTCTACGACTAGGACGATATATTCTATTTAAGGCAAATATTTCTTATATACACTTGTGGTATAAGAGTACTAGAAAGAAGTGTTGTTGATATTAATTTTAAATAATGTGAAGTTTCATGACATAGGGATCTTAATAGTTGAAATAAGTAGAAAATGTTTAATTTGCTTAAATAAAAATATAATTGTATAGATATGTCATAACAAAATAATGTTTTTAATTTTGTAAACCTATGTATTAATTGTTTTAAACATATTTTTAAAACCAATTTTTTTTTTATTATTGTATAGTGCATGGAATTATAAAAGAAATTGTAATTTTAAAGTGAGACAAAGAATATAATTTTACAGATATGTAACTAGGTAATAAATTACTTTTTTTTTTAATTTTTATATTCCAAATTTCTGTAATATTTTATTGTTATCTATTTAATTGAGACATTTCTATTATACAAATTGATCAATGTTACTATTATTTGAGATCAGGTTCCTACTCAGTTATTCTGCCCCTTCAGGCAAATTATATTTGCCTCCTTTGACAATGATACTTTAAATAGGCATTGTTGTAATTATGCTTATTTTCCCTGGGATGGGGGGAGGGGCTGGCCCTTTAAAATAGCAGGTGTGCACTCTCCAACCAGTCTTTATAACTAAAAAATCCCCTCATTCTGTGGTCACTCTAGATCAGTGTATCCCAACCTTTTTTGTGCCATACCCCACTTGAATATTTCTAAAATTTTTATTCCCCTATTCATAATTTTTCCCGACAAAGTTTACTTGACGACTCTAATCGCCCAGTTGATATTTTTGTAACGTCAAACGAAATTATACCTAATAAATATTTACAGTATTTTTTTTTATTTACTTTATTGTTAAATTTGGCACCGATATCTACTGTAGCATTGCATTTAAATAGCTCAGAGTAAGAGGGTTAAAATCACTTAGTCCTTTTTTAATCCCCCCTTTACTATCAAATTGCCCCCGTTGGGGTGTGGCCCACTCCCCACACTGTGTGGGCCCCACGTTGGGAAACACCGCTCTAGACAATATTGAAGTGGGTACGGCCCACCTGGCCACCCTTTTAAATGCGTTTATGTAAATAGTGTATTTTTATGACGAAAAAAATAATACGTGATGGAAGAACGCGTGGGCGGCGTTTAGGCGTGGGATAAAACGAATGCTCACTTTTATCTGCTATCCACTTTTAATCTCAATTTCTCGAATCTGGATAATTACTTGACCTTCTTACGGCTCCTATAATTGACGCTGAAAAAGAACCTTCTTATAATGCGAACACGCGCGTGCGAGATTTTCAGCGAGAGCATTCAGCCTTAATCTCAATTTTGACGCTCGGGGCGATTTCTCACCGCCAAGGCCGAATTATCCGTGTGGCAGTGTAGACTAGGGGCCGCCATCCGTAAGGAGCCGCGAGCTCCGATAAAGAGTAAGTTTTATAAAAGAAAATTACAGTTGAAGGTTAGTATCTAACAAACATCGGTGATAATGGAATGGGAAACCCGCCTGCACTATCTGTATACGCGGGTAAAGCACCAGTGAGGGATGATAGGTGAAGATAAAGCAGGTCAGTTGGCTCATCGTGATGAATTCATCAAAAATTAATCACGATGGTTCCCAGGGGGAACCGTGTGGAGGTCGACCTGTTATTGCTAGTAATAGGTCAGTTGGATCTCATTACTAACAATCCCTGTCCCCCTTGTGGGAAAGAATTCTTAGTAATGGGCATTTGTGAACCTATTGCTAGCAACATACCTGGGTCAATTTCCTATAGGCTTACCATCAATATACCTTATCAGGTCGACCTCCACGCGGTTCCCCCTGGAAATCATCGTGACTAATTTATCGTTGAATTCGTCACGGTGGGCTAACTGACCTGCCTTTTCATCCTCACCAATCATCCCTCACTGGTACTCTGCCAGTGTATACCGATAGCACAGGCGGGGTTACCATTCCATTATCATCCAACAAAATATAAGCTTACCATTCCAGTCTTATCCCATAAAAAATAAAATAAAATGTAGACGTGGCCAAGATTTTATTAGCGTGAGGCTCTTGAGCGATGCCATAAGATTGTTTAAAAATGGAAGTGCAAAATACTAAAAAAAAAAACAGAACCTTCTCGCCCACGCCTTATGCCCTTTAGAAGTCTCTTAAGCTGCATAGCAGATTTATAATTACAAAACATTACAATTTTACAAACAAACATCGGAATTTCCCTTGTTTTAAACTTTGGTGTCGATACATAAATACTTAGATGACGTAATCATGCAATTGTTATACAGTACCATTTTTTTTCTGCCAAATTGCTTAGAGCATGATTCTGTTGTGTGGGTTTTTTAATGGGTGATAATGGAATGGTAACCCCGCTTTCGCTATCGGTGTACGCTGGCGGAGCACCAGTGAAGGATGATAGGTGACGATGAAAGCAGGTCAGCAGGCAGTCACTAGAATTAACTACAATGGTTTTCAAGGGGGAACCGCGAGAAGGTCGACCTGCTAGGGTGCATACTAGCATTACTAACAATCCTTTCTCCCCCACCCCGTTGTGTGGGTTATGCTTACACAATATATCTAAATAGCATTTCCCTAGAACAGGCTTTAAAAACGACTTACTGTTTTAAAGATTCGCTTTTTAATATATTTTTTTTAAATGGGTGATAATGGTATGGTAGTCCCGGCTGCGCTATCGGTATACACTGGTAGGGCACCAGTGAGAGATGATAGATGAGGATGACAGCAGGTCAGTTAGCCCATTCTGACAAATTTAATTAGAATTAAACACGATGGTTTCCAGGGGGAACCACGTGGAGGTTGACCTGATAGGGTATATTGCTAGTAATGGGGCTATTTAAAAGTATTTTCAAGTATTTTAAAATACAAGGCTTTATATTGCCGGTATTTGTAGACTACGATAATTATTTACCATGCTTGCTTGTTTGCCACTTTAGTGGTATAAAAAAAATTATGGACTTCCACAAGATAACAACTATTACGTAAAATAAATGATTAATTATTATTAAATTCGTCACGAAGGGGTAACTGACCTGCTGCATCATCACCTGACATCCTACACTGGTATAATGCTAGTATTCTATTTTAAGGACCTTAAAGAAAGTTCTTAAATACTGCCAGTACTATCAAAACTGTAATGATTTTTTTTAGATTTAGTTATCTGTTAATAATACTTTTTAATTTATTAATAAAAAATAGAATTAATAATGTACATATAATAATTTTAAGTTTAAAAATTAATTATAACTGGTTATTTTTGTTCGTGAATAAAAGGTAAAAGTTATATTCGTAATACCTATTATCCGTTTCCGTGGTGTAGCGGTTATCACATCTGCCTAACACGCAGAAGGCCCCCGGTTCGATCCCGGGCGGAAACATACTTTTTGTTCATTTCTTTTAAATAATTTTATATAATTATTAAAATTTATGGTACTGTCTCCAAGTTTTGCTAATTTAAAAAAAAAATATATTTTTATAATATTTACTTTTTAACTGAATATTTATATAACGTAACATCGAAGTTTTGAAAATACGACATTGCTATTAATTTGTAATAGGCGCAAATGACTTTGTTGAAATTATGACAATTAATTTTAGAGTAATTTAAGAAATAATAGAAATGTTCTTGATAGGATATTTTATAAAATCTTAAATGGTGTGATATTTTTTTTTTAAAAAATAAAATAAAATACTATCCGGCTTCCGCTATTATTTCAACTTGGCGACTTACCTACCAGTAAGGGATAATAGGTAACAATGAAGTTAGATCAGTTGACCCAACGTGATGAAAATTAGGAATTAACAACAACGGTGATCAGGGGAACCGTGTGGCGGTCGAACCGACTAAGTGTCTATTAGTATTAGCAGTCCTGAAGTCACTAGTCTCTATTACGAACAATATTTTCTTTTTAAAACACAGGAGCAAACAAGTATGCTGCTCACCCGATGTGATGATCATCTCTCCACAGTTATGGTACATTAGGGTATAGATGGATAGATAAACTTTTTATTTAAGCCATTTATAACACACGTTAATTGACAAATGAGTTTATACAATCAGATTATTTACACTTTTTTAAATATAAAACAAAAGATAAAATACGAAAATATGTTTTCGCCATGTGTGTCGCAGTGACCCGAACAGGCTACAGCTCAGTGATGGTTTTGCTTAAAAGCAAAGCACTGGTTTTCAGCTGCAGCCTGAAGTTAGGCTACACGGACGCGTACAACAAACCCAGAGTGTATTAACCTGTGTAACCAATTTAACAGCCAGAGATAAAATTGTATTATATAGATACATACTTACATAATTGATGCATAAATAATATATTTCATTAATTAGTTTAACAGACAATATAAATAATTCACCACAATAATTATTATGTTGATATTATTGTTATTATGGTATCTAACTACAATTGAAAAGTTTTTTGCAAGGAGGACTTTATATCCTATGCAAATGAAATAATTTTTGTTGGTATGTGGCGAAATTGTATGAAAATGTTGATCCGATTTTCTCGAAACATTTATATGGAGACACTATGTCTATATAGTCTAAAACTAGACCAAATAAATAATAAAATCGATCATTTAAATTAATTAATTAATTTAATTTCAAACTTTTTGTAATTAATCCTCTGCATCCAAAGGTTGCCTGGAAGAGATCGCTTTAGCGATAAGGTCACCCATTGTTTTCTAACTATGATTATTTCTTGTAATTTGTTTGTATTTATAATAAGTTTATTATTGTAATCTTTTGGAGGAATCAATAAAGAATATCTATCTATCTGTCTATCTATATACATCATGATGGACCAACTAACCTGCTTTCGTCCATCTATCATCACTTACCGTTCCATATTCACGCATTAAAAATGATTTAAGTTTTCTTCTACACTTTATAATAATATTGAACTCATGAATTCATTAAAATCAACATATTATATTTTTATTCATTCAGTTTTGTAAAAAAATACTGTTTATAAATTTACTTTAGTGGGGGGAAAGGGATTGTTAGTAATGGAGACTGAGAATCCCATTGTTAGCCAGGTCGACCTCGCGGTTCTCCCTGGAAACTATTATGCTTAATTCCTGATGAATTCATCACGATGGACTAACTGGCTTGTTTTCATTCTCATCTATCACCCTTCACTGGTGCTCTGCCAGCATATCCCGTTAGCGCAGGCGGGGTTACCATTTTGACCTATCAAAAAAAATAATTTAGTTATTAATGAATTTAAATTATACTTTTACTATACTTTACCGACACCCCTTTGACCTTGGCATTCCTGAGACCGAGCAGTACAGGCAAAGTTGTGGGTTACAGTTTTTTTTTTGATGGGTGAAAATGGTATGGTAACCCCGCCTGCGCTAACAGGATACGCTGGCGGAGCACCAGTGAAGGGTGATAGATGAGAATGAAAACAGGCCAGTTAGCCCATCATGATGAATTCATCAAGAATTAACCATGATAGTTTCCAGGGGGAACTGCGAGGAGATTTCTCAGAGAGGATTCTCAGTCTCCATTACTAACAATCCCTTCCCCCCTGTGGGTTACAGTTAGTAAGTACTAATAATAATAAGTTAGTAAGTACTTATAATCGTGTAAGCAACATCGTGTAAGACCCTTAACCTTGCCATTAGAAAATTCTATTAATACTATAAACGCAGAAAGTTTGTAAGGCTCGATTGGTGTTTGTTACTCTTTCTTGCAAAAACTTCTCAACTTATTTAAATTAAATTTGGTACACTAATAGTTTATATTCTAATGTAGCCCATAGGGTATATTATGTACTAATTCAAGCAGGCCAAACCA